TGATGGTGATGGTGATGGTGATTGATGGTGATGGTGATGGTGATGGTGATGATGATGGTGATGGTGATTGATGGTGATTGATGGTGATGGTGATGGTGATGGTGATTGATGGTGATTGATGGTGATGGTGATGGTGATAGCCTCTGGTTGTTGGGTCGGGTTTTTTCCATACATTATCACTTTTAATCTTCCCACAACCCAGAGAACCAGAAAGCATTTTCAGCCACACGTTCCAGATGAAGAAACTGAGGCTCTGAGAGGGGATGTGAGTTGCTCAAAGTCACACAGCATGTCACTCGACAGTGGATGGGCCCCCAGAGCCCTGGGCACATTAGCACAAAGAGTCACCCAACCCTGCTTCGCTGTATGACCTTGGGCAAGTAACTCACCTCTCTGAGCCTCAGTTTCCTCTTCTGTAAAATGGGGATAAAATGGTTACAGGGTTTGTGCAGAGCAGGGTTTCTCAGCGTCAACACTGGACATTTGGGGCTGGATCCTTCTCTGGGGTGGGGCCATCTTGTGCACTGTAGGATGTTAAGCAGCATCCCTGGCCTCCACCCACTCGATGCCAGTAGCACCCCCCTTCCCCAATTGTAGGAGTCAATACCATCTCCAGACCTTACCCAGCGTCCCCTCAGGGGGGCGGACTTGTCTCTGGTTGAGAACCTCTGATCTACTGTACTCATAACATCCAGTATTTATTGAGTGTCTACTGTTTGCCAGGCATAGTTTAAACTTCATCTCAGTGTGTGATCACAGCAACCTATGAAGGCAAGAACTGTGGTTCTCCCCTTTTTACAGATGAGGAAACTGAGGCTCAGGAAGGTTAAGTCATCTTCTCAAGATGACTCAAGCCCAGGCCTATCCAACCCCAGCCCAACCAGGCCAGGCTGCTTTCGGCCCTCCTGTTCCAGCTGCCTTTATTTTCCAGATGGACCAATGGAGGCTTCTGAGAGGGGATGTGACAAGATCAGCAAACATTTTCTGTAAAGGGCCAAAAAGCCAATTTTTTCCACTTTTTGGGCCAGTCTCTGTCACAATTACTCAACTTTGCCCCAGTAGTGCAAAAGCCATCAGAGCCATTAACACGTTAAGATATGAACATATTAACCAATGGGCGTGTGTTTGTGTGCCAATAAAACTTTATTTAAAAATCAGTTGCCGATTGTAGAAATAGCTTACCACACATACACACACACAAAATAACTTTAAAAACTAGTTGCTAAGCAGTCGATTCTGACTCATGCTGACCCCATAGGTGTCAGAGTAGAAGCTGATTTTTCAGAAGTAGATCACCAGGTCTTTCTTCTGAGGCACCTCTGGGTGGATTCCAACCTCCAGCCTTTCAGTTAGCAGCTGAGCACATTAACCATTTGCAGCACGCAGGGACTCCAAACTTTATTTACAGACCCTGAAATGTGAATTTCATGTAATGTTCACATGTCACAAAATATTCTTCTTTTGACTTTTTTTCCCCCCAACCATTTAAAAAAGTGAAAACCATTCTTAGCTTGTGAGCCATTCAAAAACCAACTGTGGACTAGACTCGGCCCCCGGGCCAGAGTTTGCTAACCCCTGAGATGTGTCTCTCCCTGGCAAGTCTTTGTCCCTAGCCTCTTCCTGCTGCCTCAAGGCGTCCCCAGCCCTGGGCTCTGGGAGACCATGAACAGCCTATCCCTCACAGATCACAGAGCTCTCTAAAGAAGTCTTCAGCCTTAAGGAGGCCCTAAAGGACCAGCCAGCCGCCCCAGCCACCCCTGAGGTGGAGGCCCTGCAAGGCCAGGTGAAGGCCCTGCAGCAGCAGCTGGAGGTGAGGGCCCCATTGGGCAGGGGCTGGGGCAGGGCCAGGGCGGGGGCTGCCGTGGACAGCTCTGGGCAGGAATCGCGGGAGGGGGCTGGGATGCACTTCCCAGGCATGGGCAGAAAGTAGTTCCATATTTTAGCAGCCGGCATCATTACACTGATGCATACCACCAAATACAGGGTCTGGGTGCAAAGGGGGTGTTTTGGGGTGTCTTGAAGTTTCTAGCTTTTCTGAGTACCCCTCCTCCTACCCACAGGAGGCTGCCAGGGACCACAGTGCCGTGGTGGCCTTGTACCGGAGTCACCTGCTCTGTGCTATCCAGGTGAGTCTGAAGGAGGTGAGTCAACTGCCCCGGCCCCTGACACAGTGCCCACGTGGCTTTGCACATGCCCCTGCCACTCCCTGGGCATCTGTATAGTGGGAGGCTGATCCTGGGGAGAGGTTCATGGCCTGTTGAAATCTGTCTGTGTTCATTCGCTGGGTTGGGTGTCTGGATCAGGGGTGGGGAGGGAGGAGGGTGGGAAGCCAGGGCAGGACCCCTAGGGTCTCTCTCTCTCTGCTCCCCATAACCCCAGGGCCAGATGGATGAAGATGTGCAGCGAATTCTCAGTCAGATCCTGCAGATGCAACGACTCCAAGCTCAGGGCCGCTGAGGCTGGGCGGGATAACACCTCCTCGGTGTCCTCTGCACGGATCGTTCCCGGCCGGTGACTCTGTCCCTCCAAGGCCCACACAGACTGGCTTCACCCGGACCCCCGGGGCTATCTGGACTCCTTCAGTGACCATTTGCGCTTGGAGCCCAGCCTGGGCCCAGTCCAGCCCCTTCCTGACTGTCCCCAAACTGGCTCCATCCCCGCCCCTGGTCCATGTTCTGAGATTCCGGAGATTCTGTGAGGCCCCTCCTCCCCACGGGAATAAACCATCACTGTGCACAGGACCAAAGAAAGCGCGTGGCCTGACTGCGGGCTCCCGCACTGCGAGGAGGGAGGGTGCCCAGAGCAGGGCTGGGAATAGGGTGATGCAAGGGAGGCATTTGCCTCGAATACAAAATTTTAAAAAAGACAAAACTAAACCAGTCACTGTGGAGTTGATTCCAACTCACAGCGACCTAACTGTGTGTGTCAGAGTAGAACTGGGCCCCATAGGTTTTCGATGGATGGTTTTTGGAAGTAGGTCGACAGGCCTTTCTTTTGAGGCACCGCTGGGTGGACTCCAACGGCTAACCCTTTGGTTAACAGCTGAGCAGGGCCCAGTTACAACTCTGTCTTTCTGCGCCTCCTGCTCCTGTAGAGACCGTGGGCCCCATACAGGCGGGGACCAGTCCAGCTGAGCCCAACCCATTGCCCTCAAGTCGATTCTGACTCATAGCAACTCTACGGGACAGAGTAGAACTGCCTCACAGGGTTTCCAAGGAGTGGCCGGTAGATTTGAACTGCCGACCTTTTGGTTAGCAGCCGAGCTCTTAACCACCGCACCACCAGGGCTCCCAGCTGAGCTCAGCAGGGAGTAATCTGTATACCAGTTGCCATTGAGTTGATTCCGACTCATGGCGACCCCATGTGTGTCAGAGTAGAGCTGTGCTCCATCAGAGTTTCAGTGGCTGTGATCTTTCGGAAGTAGATCTCCAGGCCTTTCTTCTGAGGCATCTCTGGGTGGGTTTGAACAGCCAACTTTTTGCTTAGTAGCTGAGCGCTTAACCGTTTGAGCCACCCAGGGACTCCATGCAAAATTTCAGGGGGCACCCCAAAACTCAGTCATCATGGTAAATCAAATTGTCAAGCAATATGTTAGAAGATGAAAACGAATGTGAAAAAATCCACGATGATCAAAATACCAGCGTTTTACATAAAGGCAGGATTCCGCCGTGCGCTTGGACGACTCATCCTCACTCCCTTCCTGAATCCCAGGCCTGGCAAGAGCGCCCCACTCGCAGCCTCCCTGCCCCTTGGCAAATCCCCTGAAAGCCCCTGGGGCTTCTTGGCTCCTTCCAGCTGAGGGAGGGGGAAGCAGGGGTGTGGCCGTGAATCCCAAGCCTGTCGAGCCCATCCTTGGGGGTTTCCTCAGGTGGCCCCGGAAGGGCTCAGCATGTCCCTGGGTGTCCCCATCGTTGGGAGAATTCCAGAGGGTGGGGCTGCCTCCCCAGGGCCTGGGCGTCTGTGGGTCTTGCGGTCTCTCGGTGGCTGGGAGCACGGCAGGCAAGTGGTGGGTTCCCGCAAGGTGGCTCAGTGAGTGAATAACATGCCCCGTGTGCCTGCCGGAGCCCTGGTGGCACAGTGGTCATGAGTTCAGCTGCTAACCAAAAGGTTGGGAGTTCAAATCCACCAGCAGCTCCTTGGAAACGCTATGGGGCAGATCTGCTCTGTCCCATAGGGTCGCTATGAGTTGGCATCCACTGAACGGCAACAGGTGTCTGTGCAGACCGTCCCTCTCAGCCACCATCTCTCACTGTGGCTTCGTCTCTGTGGGTCTCTATCAGTTTCTCCCTATCTCTTTCTCGCTCTCTGAATGTGTCTTTATCTCTCTCTGTGTGACTCATCTCCCTGTTTCTGCCTCTGTCTGTCTCCCCATCTGTCTCTCTCTCTCCCTATATCTATCAGTCTGTGTGTGCCTCTCTTTCCCTGCCTCTCTCCTCTCCCCATTACTCTCTCTCTCCTCCCCCGTGTCTCTGTCTCTGTTTCTTTGTGAATCTCTCTCCTCCCCGTGTCTCTGTCTCTCTGTCTGTCTCCGTCTTTCTCGCTGGGTGTCTGTCTCTCTGTCTCTTTCTCTGTGTCTCTATTTCTCTGTCTCTGTCTCTTTGTCTCTCACTCTTTGTCTCTGTCTGTCTCTGTCTCTCTCTCTCTCTCTGTGTCTCTGTCTCTCTCCTCCCCCTCTGTCTCTCTGTCTCTGTGTATCTCCTCCCCCTCAGTCTCTCCCGTCCCCCTTCGCCTCCCGGAGTTTCCCCCTTGACTCTGCAGCCGGAAAGCCGGACGGAAGGACCTGCCTTTCTGGGAAAGGCCACGGGGTCGCCACTTCTCCCTTCCCAGCCTCCGCCCCACCCCTCTGGGGCATTCCGGCCCCGCCCCCACCCACCCTTCTCGGGGCTGCGGGCCGGGGGGCTGCTCGTCCCTCCGCCAAACCCTGCAGTGAGTCAGGCGGAGGGGAGGGCGGTGAGGCCCAGACCTGGCCTGGGCTTCCCCGGGCGGATCCCAGCCCCTGCAGCCCGCGCACCATTCAGGCGTGTCGGGTCCGAGTGAGTACGTCTCCAGCGCTCCGCTCCAGCCCCTGAAGGCAACGCTGGCCGGCGGCATGACTCCCAGGCTGCTCCTGGCTGTCGTCCTCTGGGCCGGCTGCGCGCCCTGCGATGGAAGGGAAGGTGCGCGGGACTCCGTGTTGGGGGAGTGGGGGAGGGAATGGGGTCCCCCAGGCAGTGGGACTTAACCTGGGGACCTCGATGTTGACCTCCTATATCATGTCTGGACGGGTCTGGGTTGGGTGGAACTCACACCTAATGTAAGCGTATTGGTGGCACAGGGTTACCAACCCATTGTACAGATGGGGAAACAGGCGCAGAGAGGAAGAAACCAAAAAACCCATTGCTGTCAAGTCAGACTTACAGTGACCCTATAGGACAGAGTAGAACTGCCCGACAGGGTTTCCAAGGAGGAGCTGGTGGATTTGAACTGCTGACCTTTTGGTTAGCAGCCCATCTCTTAACCACTGCGCCACCAGGGCTCCAGAGATGAAAAGAGATCTGTATCATAGATACAGATATAGATACGAATATGGATAGATATAGATGAAGCCCCTGGGTGGCGAAAACAGTTTGCACCTGACTACTAACCTAAAAGTTGGCAGTTCGAACCCACCCAGCGGCACCGTGGAAGAAAGTCCTGGCAATCTGCTTTTGTAAAGATCACAGCCAAGAAAACCCTATGGAGCAGTTCTACTCTGCAACACATGGGGTCGCCATGAGTTGAAATCTACTGGACGGCAATATTTTTTTTTTTTTTTTTTTTTATGTGTATAGCTATGGATACAGATATAGAGGGGGCAGGAGCCCTAGTGGTGCACTGGTTAAGTGCTTGGCTGCTAACCTAAAGGTTAGAGGTTCAAACCCACCCAGTGGCTCCATGGGAAAAAGGCCTGGCAATCTGCTCCCATAAAGAGTATAGCCTATGAGGCAGTCCTTTTTCACGTGGGGTCCCTGTGAGTGGAGACTGACTGGCTGTCAACTAGCAATAACAACATAGAAGGGGGATTGACGGGTTCACTGGCAGAATTCACGCCTTCCCTATAGAGATCTGGGCTCCATTCCCAGCCAGTACATCTCATGCACAGCCACCACCCGTCCGTCAGTGGAGGCTTGTGTATTCCTAGGATGCTGAACAGGCTTCAGCTAAGCTTCCAGGCTAAGACCAGGAAGAAAGGCCTGGCGATCTACTTCCAAAAATCAGCCCCCGAAAGCCCTGTGGATGGCAACGATCCAATCCACAACCAAACATGGGGATGGTGCAGGACCGGGCAGTGTTTCATTCCATTGTGCCTGGGGTTGCCATGAGTCAGGGGCCGCCCTGAAGACAGCTAACAGCAACTCAGATATGGGTATAAATATACATTTTAACTGTAGGCATGCATTTTGGAATACTGAATGCAGTCATGTGCCTCGACACAAAAATGTTACAAAACAGAGATACAGTTAAACATCTCCCTCCCACCTGCTTCCTACCACCAGTTCCCCTCTGTGGCTCCTTGAGCCTCAGTTTCCCTGTCTGGAAAATAGGCTAATAACTCCTGCCCTGGTGGGTTGTAGAGCAGGTAAGAGATGGTGTAGATGAATTCATTCATTCACTCATTCCTTCCACATTCATTTATTAGGCACCTACTGTGTGCCTGGCACCCACTGGCAGCATGGTAGGGCCAAGCACACAGTAGGACTTTGACAATCTCCGGGTCAATCGGAAGCTCACACTCCTCCCTCTCTCTCCCGTGACCGCAGCAGGTCCGATCCACCCCAGGGTGCAGTGCCGAGCCTTCAGGTACCCAGTCGCCGTAGACTGCTCCTGGACCCAGCCTCCAGCTCCAAACGCCACCAGGCCCACCTCCTTCATTGCCACATACAGGTCAGAGAGTCAGGAAGGGAGGTGGGAAAGGACCTTGGGGACACAAGGCTTCCTGGGGACCCCAGAACTCAGGCTAGGTTTGAGTCTACCCAGAGGTGCCTTGGAAGAAAGGCCTGGCGACCTACTTCTGAAAAATCAGCCACTGAAAACCTTATGGAACACAGTTCTACTCTGACACGCGTGAGGTCACCATGAGTCAAGGTCGGTCCTACTGGTTTTATTTAGATTTGGGTAAAATTTGTGGTTGAAAAAACAGATGCACACGTCCGTTTTGTTCCAAAGGACTTTTCCAAGTTTTCTGATAACTGAATCAAGTATCAGCTTTTAAATTTAAATTAACCTAAAACCTAACCTAACCAGTGGCTGTGGAGTCGATTCTGACCCATAGTGACCCTATAGGACAGAGTAGAACTGCCCAGTAGGGTTTCCAAGGAGCAGCTGGTGGATTCGAACTGCTGACCTTTTGGTGAGCAGCCAAGCTCTTAACCGCTGCGCCACCAGGGCTCCAATGTTCAATAGCCACACGTGGCTGGTGCCTGCTACATTGGACAACACACAAACAGAGCATTTTGAACATTCCGAAAGTTCTATTGAATGGTGCTGAGGTAAAGTCTCGACATTCTGAGGTCTGAAATCTTGGGGGTCACAGAAATCTGGAGGATTGCAGTCCTCATTTCACACTGCAGAACCTGGGAATCTGTAGGCCTCTGGAATGGTGGGATTCCAAAGTCAGGATGTTGACATTCAGCCCCTTGGCTCCCCAGCCATTGCCCCAGTTCTTTGCTTTCATTTGGAGTTCAGGGTATAGCCCAGCCCCAAAGCCTCACAGCGCCCAACTTTGCCAGGCTCGGTGTGGCTGTCCACGAGGAGAGCCGACCCTGCCTCCAGCTGACACCGGAAACCCCCAGCTGTGCCATCTCAGATGTCCAGATGTTCTCCATGGTGCCCTACGTGCTCAACGTCACAGCCATCCACCCCGGGGGTGTCAGCAGCACTCTCCTGCCCTTCATTCCAGAGCATATCAGTGAGTGGGGGACGTGGGGGTGTGGAGGGCCGCCATCATGTTCCTGCTCCTCACTCCTCTCTCTCATCCCCACCTTCTACCTGTCACCCGTTCCTGTTGGCTCCACCTTCACAATAGACCCAGACTCCACCTGGTCCCCCTCCCCACAGTCTGTTCCCCCTACAGCAGCAAGATGGCGCCCGTGAGCACCTGAGTCAGGGCTCGTCCCTCCTCCGCTCACAGCCCTCCAGGACTCCCACCTCCCTCGGGTAAAGGCCCAAGTCCACAGGGCCCTGCATGACCTGCCCTGTCCCCTCTCTGCTCTCCTTTCCCCCTCTCTCCCCCTCAGTCACTCTGCTTCAGCCACACGGGTCTCCTCACTTTTCCTCCAACTCACCAGGCCTGGTCCTGCCCCAGGGCCTTTGCACATGCTGTTCCCTTTGCTTGGAATGCTTTTCCCACAGATACCCACCTGGCTTCCTCCCTCACTTCCTTCAGGTCTCTGCTCAAATGTCACCTCCTCAATGAGGCCTTCCCTGAGCACTCTATTAAAACTGGCAAACTCTTAGACATTGCTGGTGGGGATATAAAGTGATGCAGCTGCTTTAAAAACAGTTTGGCAGTTCCTCAGAACTGAATTATCATATAAACCAATTCCTATATAACCCTGCAACATGGTCACACAAAAATTTGTACATGAATGCTCATAGCAGCATTATTCATAAGGACCCAGAAGTAGAAACAACCCAGGTGTCTAGCAACAGATGAATGGATGATCAAAATGTGGGGGAATATTGTTCAGCCATAGAGAGGAATGAAGTTCTGCTACATGCTACACCATGAATGAACCTTGAAAATATTAGGCTAAGTACAAGAAGACAGTCACAAAGAATTACATACGTATGATTCCATTTATATGAAATGTCCAGAACAGGCAAATCCATAGAGATAGAAAGTGGATTAGTGGTTGCCTAGGGCTTAGGCGCAATGGAGAAGGGAGGATGACTGCTAATGGGTCTGGGGTTTCTTTTGGGGGTGATGAAAACGTTCTAGAATTAAACATTGGTGATAGTTGCACATCCTTATGATATACTAAAAACCACCGAACGTACAATCTTATAGGTTGAATTGTGTCCCCCAAAAATGTGTGTCAACTTGGCTAGGCCATGAGTCCCAGTATTATAACATTGTCCACCCTTTCATCATCTGATGTGATCATCCTATGTGTTGTAAATATTAACCTCTATGATGTTAATGAGGCAGGACTCAGTCTACAAGATTAAGTTGTATCTTGAGTCAATCTCTTTTGAGATATAAGAGAGAAGTGAGCAGAGAGGGATCTCATGCCACCAAGAAAGCAGAGCTGGGAGCAGAGCGTGTCCTGTGGTCCTGGGGTCCCTGTGCTTAGAAGCTCCTCGACCAGGGGAATATTGATGACAAAGACCTTCCCCCAGAACCAACAGAGAGAGAGAACTTCCCCTAGAGCTGGCGCCCTGAATTCGGACTTCTAGCCTCCTAGACTGTGAGAGAATAAATTTCTCTTTGTTAAAGTCATCCACTTGTGGTACTTCTGTTGTAGCGGCACTAGATGACTAAGACATTCACTATTAAAGGGTAAATTTTGTGGTATGTGAATTATATCTTTAAAAAAAAATTGCAACCCACTCTCCACCCTACACTCCCAAACTTTCTTGCCTACTCTGTATGAGTTGCTGATTTGTTTCTTATTTCTTATCTTCTCCCCTGATGGACTGTAAGCTCCGGGAGGGTAGGGATTGGCTCTGTCTTGGTTTCTGCTGTGTCCAGTGTCTGGGACAGTGTAGACAATCAATAAATATTTGTTGGTTGAATGAATGAATGAATGACTGCCCTCCCCTGACCTTGCCTCCTGCTTGTCCGTCAGTTAAACCAGACCCTCCAGAGGACGTCTACCTGAGCCCCATCCCTGGGAAGCAGCTGCGGGTGCAGTGGGAGCCCCCCCGGTCCTGGCCCATCCCAGAGATCTTCACACTCAAATACCGGATCCGCTACAAGCGTCACGGATCTGCCCATTTCCGACAGGTGAGGAGGACGAGAGGGAGGGCAGAAAGGGTGGTCGGGCTGGTACCAGACATGGCAGATAGAGGGAACAGTACATGCAGAGGTTTGGAGGTGTGCTGGGGTTTGCATGCACTTTGGGGTGACTAGCGTGTAAAATAAAGGAAGATAGCGATTCTGCTCCTAGGTATCTGCCCAAGAGAAATGAGAACATACATCCATGCAAAGACTCTTACACCAATGTTCACTGCAGCACTATTCACAGTAGCCAAAAAGTAGAGACAACCTAAATGTCCATCAACAGATGAATGTGGTATATACGTGCAATGGAATATTTCTCAGCCATAAAAAGGAATGACGTCCTTGTTGTTGTTGTTTTTTGGTGCTGTCGAGTTGGTTCCAACTCATAACTATATACAACAGAATGAAACATTGCCTGGTCCTATGCCATCCTCACAACCGTTGTTATGCTTGAGCCCATTGTTGCAGCCACTGTGTCAATCCATCTCACTGAGGGTTGTCTTACTAGGGAAGCAAAACCAGTGAAGCGTATATATATAGATACATAGAGAGCTTTATCTCAAGGAAATGGCTCATGCAATTGTAGAGGCTGGCAAGTCCCACATCTGTGGGTCAGGCATCAGGATGGAGGCTTCTCCTGCTAATGTAGCTACAGGGGCTAACGAACCCAAGATCAGCAGCTCAGACGGTAGGCTGCTGGCTCACGGGCTGTGGAGGCTGACGAATCCAAAATGGGCAGGTAAGATGGCAAGCTGATGGCTCACAGGCTACAGAGGCCAATGAACCCCAAGATCAGCAGGCAATATGGCAGGCTGCTGGTTCAAGTCTGAAGAACCAGAGGTCCAATGATGATGAGCTGAATACAGGATCCAGAGCAAGTAAAAGCCAGCGAGCCAGAATGTCCATATATATTGGATGCAGGCCACACCCCTGAGAAGCTCCCCTTACAACTGATTGGCTGATCACGTTGGATCACATCATGGAGATGATTACATTATATCACAAAATGGAGGATAATAACATCATTACATAACTGCCAGACCACCGAGAATCATGGCACAGCCATGTTGACACACAACCGTAACCATCACGAGGGTCTTCCTCCTTTTCCATATGACCCGGCAATTCCACTCCTAGGTATATACCCAAAAGAATTGAAAACAAGGACTCAAACAGATACGTGTACATGTGTGTTCATGACAGCACTATTCACAGTGGCCAAAAGGTGGAAACAACCCAAATGTTCATCCACAGATGAACAGATAAACAACATGTGGTCCATTTATACAATGGAATATTATTCAGCCATAAAAAGGAATGAAATCCTGATACATTGTATGGCATGGATGGACCTTGAAAGCATGATGTTGAGTCAAAGAAGCCAGACACAAAAGAAAACATGTTGTATGATTCCATTTATATGAAATATCCAGGGTAGGTAAATCCACAGAGACATAAAGTGGATTAGTGGTTGCCTAGGGATTAGGGGAAATGAGGAGTGACTGCTAATGGGCATGGGATTTTCTTCTGGGGTGACGAGAATGTTCTGGAACTAGACAGAGGTGACAGTTGTATAATATGATGAAAGTAATGAATACTACAGAATTGTACACTTTAAAATGATTCGTTTTATGCTATGTGAATTCCACCTCAATTGAAAACATATATTTAAACAAAGGAACAAAGAAATGAGCTTTTGAGAGCTGACAGCTGTGTCCCTGGTGGCCTCAAATGCTGGGCTGAGGAGCTGAGCCTCTGCAGGATTAGGCTCACCACTTTGCTTGCTGAAGGTGCAGAGGGTTTGAAGCACTGACTGATGAAGATCAAAGACCACAGCCTTCAGTATGGATTACACCTCAACATAAAGAAAACAAAAATCCTCACAACTGGACCAATAAGCAACATCATGATAAACGGAGAAAAGATTGAAGTTGTCAAGGATTTCATTTTACCTGGATCCACAATCAACGCCCATGGAAACAGCAGTCAGGAAAGCATACGACACAGTGCCTTGGGCAAATCTGCTGCAAAAGATCTCTTTAAAGTGTTAAAAAGCAAATATGTCACTTTAAGGACTGAAGTGCGCCTGACCCAAGCCATGGTGTTTTCAGTCGCCTCATATGCATGTGAAAGCTGGACAATGAATAAGGAAGACCAAAGAATTGATGCCTTTGAATTACAGTGTTGGCGAAGAATATTGAATATACCATGGACTGCCAGAAGAACGAACAAATCTGTCTTGGAAGAAGTACAGCCAGCATGCGCCTTAGAAGCGAGGATGGTGAGACTTTGTCGTATTTACTTTGGACCTGTTATCAGGAGGGACCAGTCCCTGGAGAAGGACATCATGCTTGGTAGAGTAGAGGGTCAGTGTAAAAGAGGAAGAGCCGCAATGAGATGGACTGACACAGTGGCTGTAACAATGCACTCAAACATAGCAACGGTTGTGAGGATGGCACAGACCAGGCAGTGTTTCCTTCTGTTGTACACGGGGTCACTATGAGTTGGAACCAACTCCGTGGCCCGTAAAACAGATGCTGTTCAATACAACAAAGTCACCCTTCTAAAGCATACACAGTTCAGTGATTTTGAGTGCAGTCACAAAGCTGTGCAACCATACATTCATCTAAACTTAAAACTTAAGGAGTCCCTGAGTGGTGCAAATGGTTAAGCACTGGACTACTAACAGAAAGGTTGGCAGTTCCAACCTTTCCAGAGGTGCCTTGGAAGAAAAGCCTGGTGATCTGCTTCTGCAAGATCACAGCCTTGAAAACCCTGTGGAGCAAAGTTCTGCTCTGCACACATGAGGTCGCCACGAGTCAGAATCGACTTTGACAATTAACAGCAACAGAATTGGCAAATGTTGTGTTACATACATATTTACAACAACAACAATAATAATTTTAAAACTTCAATAGCCACATCTCCGTATTGGAGAGCTCAGGTAGAGCAAGCGAGGTGGGTCTGGGGTTAAAAAGATGCCTTTGGTGGCTGGAAGGGAGCACGGTGAGACAGAGGAGGAAGAGAGGGCCAGCATCTAGGAAGAGAGTGGGGAGCAGTGGGGATGGAGAGAAAGGGCAACAGAGAGAACAAGAAAGACAGGGCTGTGCAGGGGGATGGGGAGGGGCAGCATCAAGGTCAAAGTCAGAGGCTCTGGTCTGGGGACCCGGGAGGAGGCGTGGGATTGTTGAGAGTGGGGGTCCTGATGAGTAATGACACTTAGTGGTGAGACATCATGGGGTGGTGTGTGACCCAGGAAGGCTTCCTGGAAGGGGTGGCTCTGAAGCCAAGCACTGAAGGCAGAATAGGTTAGGATGAGGAAGGGCCAAAGACATGGAGGAGAGGTGTATAGGGAATGCTGTTTAGGATGGTGCCAGAGTCCTAGAGAAGAGGGGACAGAAGGCTGGGTCATGCTGTGCTGTATACAACAGCACTTCCCAACCTCCTTGTTCCAAGAGACCCAAGCCCCTGTCTGCTCTCAGGTGGGGCCCACTGAGGACACATCCTTCACCCTCAGGAATGTGCGACCAAGAGCCAGGTACTGCATCCAGGTGGCTGCTCAGGACCTCCTGGACTATGGGGAGCTGAGCGACTGGAGTCTCCCTGCCACTTTCCCCATCACTCTGGGCAAGTAGTGGGGTCTTCCCAGCACCCCCACAGCGGGGTTGGGTCCCTGCCACCCATTCCGGGTGTGAATGGGACCAGACTGACCTGGGTTCAAGTTCTGGCTTTGCCACTGTGTTGCTGGGCCACCTTGGACGAGTGACTAACCTCTCTGAGCCTCAGTTTCCTTATCTGTGAAATGGGATGTTCCCCTTCCTTTGACCACAGTGCAGGGCTTTGTGAACTGTGAATGTGAAATGGTCTTTATTGTTTAATTAAAAAAGAATAATTTTCATTGGAATCCAGATTCTTTGTCCCTTCATTGAAGGGACATGAATGAAAACCCAGAGGGGACTCAGCCTTGGCTCTGTCCTCGAGGAGTCTGAGATGCGAGAGACAGAGCTGGATACAGACACAGCAAATTGTTACTCCCAGGGCGTCAGGGCTGGGTGGGCAGAGAGACCTGGGGCTGGGGGAGTCAGGCAGAGGTGGTGAGGGTTCCGCTTGGGACAGGACAGTGGAATGTATTCAGTTCCATAGTTTGGTTTGCTTACTCCCTCAAATCTGCCCAGAAGTGAGCCCCACTGTGGGTGGATATGCAAATGGATGCAAAGGAGTCTGGGAAGGCTTCTCTGAGGAGGAGGCAAGGCAGCCAGGCCTTGAGAGTAGAGAGTGTCCAAGGGCTTGTCTGTGGATTTACTCAGGTCTCAGCTCAAAGGTCATCTCAGAGGGGTCTGCCCTAACCATCCCGTCTGTGGCCAGCAGAGTTATTATTCTGTCTCCTAAAGATGTCCATGTCATAATCCCCAGATTTTTGCAAGGCAAAAAGGACTTCGCAGATGTGAATAAAGTAAGGTTTTTGAGATAGGGGATTACTCTAGATTGTCTGGGTTGGTCCAGTGTAATCACAGGGGCTCTTATAAGAGGGAGGCCAGACAGTTGGAGTCAGAGAAGGAAGCAGAGGTTAGAATGATGTGGGGCCATGAGCCAAGGAATGTACGTGGCGTCTAGAAGCTAGAAAAGGCAAGGAAACTTATTCTCCCCTGGAGCCACCAGAAGGAACACAGTCCTAGTGATCCATTTCAGACTTCTGATCTCCAGAACTATAAGAAATAAATTTGTGTTATTTGAAGCCACTAAATTTCTGGTAATTTGTTACAGCAGCAGTAGGGAGCTCAAACACCATCTAAGGTAGGAACCTTACCATTAATTTCCATACGTAGCCCTGATCTATTATCTTCAGAGTATTTTATTGTTGTTAGGTGTTGTTGAGTTCGACTCATACAGTGACCCATGTGACATAGGGTTTTCTTTGCTGTAATCAACTTATTCATTGTAAATACTTCTTTCCAACAACATAAATGGCGACTATACACATGGACCTTGCCAGATGAAATACTCAGGAATCAAATCGACTACATCTGTGGAAAGAGACGATGAAGCAAAACTGTCTTGGAAGAAGCAGTATAACCAGAATGCTCCTTAAAGCAAGGATGGCGAGACTTTGTCTCACAAACTTTGGATATGTTATCAGGAGGGACCAGTCCCTGGAGAAAGTTCGCTGTGAGTCGTAACTGACTCGACGGCACTTAATGATAACAACAGCCATCTGTACAGAAGCAGTTTGCCAGGTCTTTCTCCTCCAGAGCTGCTGGGTGGGTTTGAACTGCCAACCTTTTGGTTAGCAGCTTTTGGTTAGCAAGCTTTTGGTTAGGGCATAACTGTTTCACCACCAGAGTATTTACCACCTTTTGAAACGGTCCTCTTTATTTGTTTATTGTCAGTCTGTCCCACGAAACATACACTATTCCTTGTCAGAGCAGGAATCTTATCTGTCTTGTTCTCTGCTGTGTCCACAGTTACTGAGCATAACACTTAACACAGAGTAAACATTTACGAAAGGGAGAGAGGACACTGGGAAAGGAACAGGATGTATGGGGGTGGTGGTGTCCTTTTTAAGGGGAAAACACAGGCAGGCGATGAAGGGACTTTTGGGAGATGGTGTGTGTAGTGAGGAGGTGGGTTTGGACCCCGAGCTTTAAGCCTATGCCTGTCTCAAGATAAGCATGGAGTGGGGCGTCCAGGGTGCTCCTTTGTTGCCACATGGGTAGCCCGTGGGAGCTGCCCCCGTCCTCAAGTGATCGCACAACACATTTATTGAATAAAAGAATGAACAGCAAGGGAGTATCGCGGTAGGCAGCCAAGTCACAACATTTCAACTAGCGGCTACAGAACTGCAGGGGGCGCAGCGTTCCCTAGGGACGTCTCCAAATCGAGACACCTTCCCCGGAACCTTTGTGCTGTACTACCGAGGTTGCAAAGCGGGAGGGACAACGGTAGATTGGACTTGACAGACGGGAGTCTGAGCCAATGAAAAAGGCAAGCTGTGCATACGCCTGTCGATGGTAAACGCTAGAGGAAGTGACGTCAGCGGAAGTACTCGGCTGATTGTGGAAGCTAGATTAAAAACCCAGACTAACCAGTTCTCCGGTGTTTGTGAGAAGAGAGGGAGGCCAAGATGTCGGAGCGAAAAGTTTTAAACGTAAGTGCTGGGTGTCTGGGGCTTTCCATCGGGGGGGGGACAGCTAGAGGCCCCAACAGAATTGGGCTTTGTATAATGCAGCCCTTTTCTTTCTTCCCCGGGAGACGAGCTTCCCCAACGACCGTCTGTGAAGGCGGGGCTTCTCAAATTCCACCCAATCACCTTCCGCGGGGGGGTGGGCCTTTGCTAAGCCTCGCCCCTTGGTGGGGGGGAGACCTGGAGTGTGCCCAATCACCTGCGTGGGGCGGAGCTTCACATGTTTACCCAGTCACTCCCCTGATTGGATTGCCTGAAGGGAATTATCTAGTCACTTTTCTTGGAGGCGGGGCTTTCTATAAAAATATATCATCCCGCTCCATGCTCCGGCTGCTAACCTAAAGGTCGGCAGTTCGAATCCACCCGGCTCTCGTTGGAAACTATGGGGCAGTTCTCCTCTGTCCTAAGGGTCGCTATGAGTCGGCATCGACTCGACGGCAACGGGTTTAATGGCTCCACGCTTTCGCCTTCAGGGACGGTGCTCTCGTAAGCCCCGCCCTATCTGGGATCTCCAGCCAGTTGTATGCCTTGGAGGAGTTAGTAGAACAGCCCCATAGGATTTTCTAGGCTATAATCTTTACGGGAGAAGATCGCTTTCTCCTGCGGAGCCCCTGAGCGGGCTCGAACTGCTGACTTTTCAGTTAGCAGCAGAGCGCTTAATTGTTGTGCCAGCAGGGCTCCTTCCCATAACTTAAAAAAAAAAAAAAAAAATTACTGTTGAGTCGATTCCGACTCATAGCAACCATATAGGACAGAGCAGAACTGCCCCATAGGGTTTCCAAGGAGCGACTGGTGGGATTCGGACTGCCGACCTATTGGTTAGCAGCCGAACGCTTAACCACTGCGCCACCAGGGCTTCTTCCATAACTTACTGGTAGATATTTCTGTGTGCCAGGCGCCGTGCTTTACTTAGCAAATTCTCACAACGGAGCTTTCGGGTGGATAGATTTGAGGAAACTGAGGCTCAGATAGGATAAGTGGTTGCCAGAGAGTGGAGGGCTCGAACCCAAACCCTCCAACTCCGTAGTCCATGCCCCTGATCACTAAGCCACCCTGTGTACCCCAGAGTTGAGACTCTGGGTTTCAGTCCTGGTTCAGCTGTTCATGCTCTGTGACCCAGAGTAGCTGAAGCCTCTGGAACTCAGTCTTCTCCTCTCTAAAATGGGTGCATTGTTGACTATCTCATAGGTTCTCCACAAGCATGAATGAGACAAGGTGTGTAAAGTGCTCCATAGAGAGTCTGAAACCTAATAACTGCTCAAAACACAGTGTGCTAAGGGAAAGTTTGCAATTCAAGTTAGTCTCTCATACAAAAATTTATACACACATTGTTATGTGACCCTAGTTGCTCTCCCTATACTGTGACAGCGCTCTCCTCGTTTCGACCCCGGATTTCCCGTGTCCATTCATCCAGCTCCTGACCCTCTCTGCCTTCTTATCTCGCCTCCGGACAGGAGCTGCCCATTTAGTCTCATGTATCTACTTGAGCTAAGAAGCACACTCTTCACAAGTATCTTTTTATGTTCATAGTCCAGTCTAATCTTTGTCTGAAGAGTTGGCTTTGGGAATGGTTTTAGTTTTGGGCTAACAGTCTGGGGGCCGTGTCTTCTGGGGTCCGTCCAATCTCAGTCAGACTGTTAAGTCTGGTCTTTTTACTAGAATTTGAGTTCTGCATCCCACTTTTCTCCTGCTCCGTCAGGGACTCTTTGTTGTGTTCCTTGTCAGGACGGTCGTTGGTGGTAGCTGGGCACCATCTAGTTCTTCTGGTCTCAGGCTGATGGAGTCTCCGGTTCATGTGGCCCTTTCTGTCTCCTGGGCTAATACTTTCCTTGTGACTTTGGTGTTCTTCATTCTCCTTTGCTCCAAGTGGGTTGGGACCAATTGATGCATCTTAGATGGCCGCTCCCTGGCTTTTAATACCCCAGATGCCACTCACCAAAGTTGGATGCAGAACATTTTCTTAATAAACTTTGTTAGGCCAGTTGACCTAGATATCCCCTGAAACCATGCTCCCCCGCCCCCTGCTGCTGTGTCCCTTGAAGTGTTTGGCTGTATTCAGGAAACTTCTTAGCTTTTATTTTAGACCCGTTGTGCTGACTTCCCCTGTATTGTGTGTTGTCTTTCCCTTCACCTAAGATAATTCTTGTCTATTATCTAGTTAGTGAATACCCCTCTCCCTCCCTCCCCACCCTCGTAACCATCAAAGAATGTTTTCTTCTGTATTTAAACCTTTTCTTGAGTTCTTATAATAGTTATGTTATACAGTATTTGTCCTTTTGCAGACTGACTGATTTCACTCAGCGTAATGCCTTCCACATTCATCCATGTTACGAGATGTTTCACGGATTCATCGTTGTTCTTTATCATTGTGTAGTATTCCATTGGGTGAATATACCATAATTTGTTTATCCATTCATCCATTGATTGGCACCTAGGATGTTTCCATCTTTTTGCTGTTGTAAACAGTGCTGCAGTAAACATGGGTGTGCATATATCTGTTCATGTGATGGCTCTTATTTCTCTAGAATATATTCCAAGGAATGGGATTACTAGATTGTATGGTGCTGCTATTTCTAACTTTTTAAGGAAGCGCCACATCGATTGCCAAAGTTGTTCTACCATTTTACATTCCCACCAGCAGTGTACAAGTGTTCCAGTCTCTCCACAACCTCTCCAGCATTTATTATTTTGTGTTTTTTGGGTTAATGCTAGCCTTGTTGGTGTGAGATGGTATCTCATTGTAGTTTTGATTTGCATTTCTCTAATGGCTAATGATCCTGAGCATTTCTTCATGTGTCTGTTAGCTGCCTGAATGTCTTCTTTGGCGAAGTGCCTGTTCTTATCCTTTGCCCATTTTTTAATTGGGTTATTTGTCTTTTTGTTGTTGAGGTTTTGCAGTATCTTGTAGATTATCTTTTGCCATTTGAGCACCACGTTTCACTGGTTCTGGAGGCTTGCTAGACTCTTCGCCGCTTCATCTCTCCCAGTGTGGAAAATGTGTCCCGAATGCCACTGCTTGCCTCACCACACATGCCAGCCGATCCGGCCTGCAGGGTGCTGGTTCCTGCCAGGTCAGGTCTGGCAACTCCTCGCTGCTTCTGAACTGTCTCTCCCTCCCCCACCGCTCAGTCCGATTCCTCAACTTCGCCTTTGATGTTCAGGGCTCCTAGATTGTCATATATAATTGATTCACTTTTTTTTTTGGGTCTTTGTTGTAAGAGGTACCACAGGAAGCATCTGACTCCTCCACCATCTTGGCCCCGCCCCCCCCAATGGAGTTATTTTTCATAATCCAAACTCACCCTCCCCGTGTCTCCCACGCTGGACTCCTGTGCAGAAAAGAGTTATCACAGCAGGACTGAGAATGTCGTCCCTAGAAAGGCCTGCTTGTAAGGCTGGCCCATGGCCAGCACCTGGGAACTTGGGTTTGGGGAGGGTTCCCACCATTTCCTAACCAATAAGAGTGGCTCATTGTGCCCAACCTGTGCAAACAATATGGTTCATGATGAACACGTGCTTCCCTTCTGGGGTCTGGAATTTGGGTATGTGTCAGGCAGAGGGTGTGGACGTGACAAGCCCCCGATAACAACACTGGGTGCCGGATCTCTGACGAGCTTCCCTGGTGGACGACACTTCCCATGAGGTGTCACAACTCGTTGCTGCGGGAATTAAGCATATCCATGTACTCCACCGGGAGAGGACTCTGGAAACTTGGCCTGGTGTCCTCAGACTCCACCCCACACGTGCTCCACCGTGCTGATTGTGCTCTGCCCTTTTTTTTTAAAACTTTTTTTGTTGTACTTTAGATAAAGGTTTACAGAACAAGTAGTTTCTCATTGAACAGTTAGTATACATATTGTTTTATTACATTGGTTAACAACCCCACGACATGTCAACACTCTCCCTTCTTGACCTTGAGTTCCCTATTGCCAGGTTTCCTGTCCCCTCCTGCCTTCTAGTCCTTGCCCCTGGGCTGGTGTGCCCCTTTAGTCTCGTTTTGTTTTATGGGGCTGTCTAATCTTTGGCTGAAGGGTGAACCTCTGGAGTGACTTCATTACTGAGCTAAAAGGGTGTCTGGGGGCCATACTCTCGGGGTTTCTCCAGTCTCTGTCAGACCAGTAAGTCTGGTCTTTTTTTGTGAGTTAGAATTTTGTTCTGCATTTTTCTCCAGTTCTGTCTGGGACCCTCTGTTGTGATCCCTGTCAGTGTGTTCTGCCCTTTTGTTGTAGGAAATCATACAATTAGATGTGCCCTTCTCGCAAATCATCACAGCTGGGGGGTGGTCCGAGGTCCCGGGGTGGGGGTGGGGCACAAATGATTTACTCTCAGCTACTAACAAAAAGCAGTTGGAACCCACCCAGCAGCTCCACAGAAGAAAGGCCTGGCGATCTACTTCCATAAAGATTACAGCCAAGAAAACCCTATAGAGCACTGTTCTACTCTGTAACACACGAGGCCGCCATGTGTAGGAATCAACTCGATAGCAATGAGTCTTTTTGGGGGGTGGTCTTAGGGTCCCCAGCACAACTCCCCAAAGCCCCTTCCCTCTGCCTGTGGCCTGACCCCAAGTCTGAAAACAGCTCACCCGACACCTCCTTCTTCCCCACAGAAATACTACCCACCAGACTTTGACCCCTCGAAGATCCCCAAGCTCAAGCTCCCCAAAGACCGGCAGTACGTTGTACGGCTGATGGCCCCCTTCAACATGAGGTAAGTGCCTCCACGTGCCCCCCACCAAATCCCCACAGCAGCTGTGGCAGACAAACCCACTCGCCAGCATCCACAGAGATGGCCAGGGCTGATGTTTGGAGCAGGTCACCCGTCCTGGCTCAGACCTGGATTGACGAGCGAGGGACTGCTCCAGCCCCCGCTTCCCTCACCTTTCAGGATTAACCTCCCTGCCTTTTGTAGAAGCCTCACCCGAATCCTGCTCTGGGGTTTTTGTTGTGTTGGGATATTTTATTTATTTTTGGTAGCAGTATGCACAGCCAAACATACGTCCATTCACAGTTTCTGCGATAACAGTTCAAGAACACTGGTTACATGGTTCACGTGTGGTTTCTCTCTCTCCCTAGCCGTGTAGTTTTCTCAACATTCCTTTAGGCTCTCTGCCCGTGAAAGTTCTCATCTGTGCTTTCGATGAACTGTTGTCAGATTGAGCTCATATAGATCATTCTTCACAAGAGCGCTGTGCTCAAGGCAAGCGTTCGTTATTGAGCTGAGCTGTTGTTGCACAATGGCTTCATGAGATAGTTTTGATTCAGGGTTTAAAGTTTATTTTTGGGCATTAGATTCGGGGGTCCCCCTAGTCTCCGTGGATCCAGTAAGTTGTGTTTCCATGTGAGTTTGAAGTCCTGCGCTTTTCCTCTTGATCAGGATCCATCTGTTGAGTCCTTGATTCAGACATTCAGCAGTGGTCACTGGGCACCATCTATTTCTTCTGGGCTCATGGTAATAGAGGTAGTAGTTTACGGGCTGCCGTAAGGTTTTGATCATTAGTTACTGAGTGAGCGAAGAGATGGGGCCCGGACCAGGAACCCAGCATGTATATATATTTCAGCTCCCGCAACAAACACAACAAGCTGGTCCCTACCACAGGGCCTTTGCACGAGCTGTTTGCCCTGCTCTTGCCAGGCAGGCTCCTCTTTGCCCTTCAGATCCTGGCTCAAACCTCCCGCCAACTGCCCTGCCTAACCCCCTCCTCTATTCCTCCTTTGTAGTACTTAGGGATTACCATATTTTACCTATTCTGCACCCCACAATTTTTCACATTTGAGCATATCTGAAACTGGGTATACCTAACAATCGAAGGGAGCCCCTGGGTGGCGCAAACAGTTAAGCGTTCGACTGCTAGCCGAGAGGTTGGTGGTTCAAACCCACCCAGAGGCAGCTTGGAAGAAAAGCCTGGTAATCTGCATCTGAAAGGTCACAGGCTTGAAACCCCTGTGGAGCCATTCTACTCTCCACACGTGGGGTCACCAGAAGTCAGAATCGACTTGATGGCAACTAACAGCAACGATGACAACAATTGAAGACACCTTTGATTTGATGAAATTTAGCACGTGTTTATGTACTGACTTTCTCTCTCTTCTTCACTGGTTCATTTATTTGTTCAGTAGACACTTACTGGGCTCCCCCTGTGTGTCAGGGTCTGTACAGGGTGCGTGGGACATTCTGGGGACAAGACAGAGTCCCTGTCCTCCTGGGGCCCGTGCTTCATAGGGAGTGGAGGTAATAAACAAGTATTTGGGCGGATTCATGCCAGGCATGGAACAGTCAGGGGAGAGGGGTCTGGGTTGGTGATGGGGAGGGGAGAGGCAGGGGTTGTTAACCAGCGTGATCAGGAGAAAGCCAGAATGGCAGTGGAGCCAAGGTGCGAGAGGTGAGCGGTGTCTCAGGCTGTGAGAACTGGAAGGACAGAGGCCCCGAGGCGGGACCGAGCTGGCGGTGTTTGTAGGAACAGCCAAGAGCCCAGCATGCTGGGCCTGGGAGGGCAGAAGGGCAGAGCAGGGGGGTGTGAGGGAGAACAGGGTGGTGGGAGCACTGCCTTCCTCTGTGTGGCCTCGCTGCCAGGTAGAACCTTCCTTGGGGAGCCAGGATGCCCCGTTAGCACCAGGCTTCTTTCTGGGAGTGTGTGACAGGCACAACTCACCTAGTCTGGTGGAAACAGGAGTGGGGAGGTTGCTGCTTCCCCAGGAGGTGACTCTTGAGCTCAGACCCAGGCAGACGGTAACAAGTAGAAGAGCGTGCCAGGTTGGGAGAATGTACACACCCAGTCAGGGGGGCTGCCTTGGGAGGGAGTGAGTCCCCCGTCACCAGCGGCATACAGGCACCCATCACTCAGTATGCCATCGCAGAGTTCTCAGACAGGGTGAGTCCGTCCCTCCCTCCTGCCCCACAGGTGTAAGACGTGTGGCGAGTACATCTACAAGGGCAAGAAGTTCAACGCGCGCAAAGAGACGGTGCAGAACGAGGTCTACCTGGGCCTGCCCATCTTCCGCTTCTACATCAAGTGCACACGCTGCCTGGCAGAGATCACCTTCAAGGTAGGGCTGCCAGCCAGGCCCATCCTGCCTCCCCCAGCCCTCTCGAGTAGGGGGGGCCCCAGGATGTTACCCACCCATATCCTCACCCACCCAGGGAAATCTCATTTCAGTCAATCCCAAGGAGACAAAGATTTGAGGGAGAATGTTCATTGCAGTGTTATTTATAAAGGCAAAAAACTAGAAGCAACCCAGATGTACAATAATAGGGGACTACAAAAACCCACTGCCGTCAAGTCGATTCCAGCTTATAGCAACGCTATAGGAAGGAGTAGAACTACCCCCATAGGGTTTCCAAGGAATGGCTGGTGGATTCAAACTGCTGACCTTTTGGTTAGGATCTGAGCTCTTGACCACTGCACCACAATGGAATACTACATAGCCAATAAAAATCACAACTTCACTTTTTTTTTAATTGAGGTGAAATTCACTTAAAAGGTAACCAGCCATAAAGTGTACAACTCAGCAGCCCCTTGGGTGCCACAAACTGTTTGCACGAGACTATTAACCTAAAGGCTGGCAGTTCGAACCCACCCAGTGGCACCACGGAAGAAAGGCCTAACAATCTGCTTCTGTAAAGATTACAGCCAAAAAAACCCTACCGAGCAGTTCTACTCTGTAATACTAGGGGTCGCCGTGAGTCGGAATCAACTCGGGCAGCGGGTCTGTTTGTTTTTTTAATACAACTGAGAGGTTTTCAGTATATTTGCAGGGTTGTACAACCATCACCACTATCTAATCCAGAACATTTACATTACCCCAGAAAGAAACCCCATACCCATTAGCAGTCACTACCTCTTCCTCTCTTCCCCCAGCCCCTGGCAACCACTAATCTGCTTTCTGTCTCTGTGGATTTAGCCTCTCTGTTTTAGAAACACAAAAGGAGCATGTTGTATACATACTCGAATATGTAATTTATAATCAAGAAAAAGTGTTATTTTTTTTTTAAATAAACCAAAAGGGAGGAAAAAAAGGCAGAAGGCATACATGTTCAAAGGCCTAGCAACTTTTATTTGCAAACATGTTGAGGGTGGGTAGTGGAGGGAGACGGATGGCAGGAAGGCCGATGGGGAGGGATCTTCAAGTCCACGCAAAGGAGGTGAGTGTTTCTGCAGAAGGGAGCGGGAAAGAAAGAACCCTCCCAGCCAAAGCAATAAGACAAGAAAAAGAAAAGGTAGAAGGATTTTAAAAAGGGGGAGAAGATGCCCCAGTCTGCCGGCAGCTGTTCAGTAGAAGCTTCCGGTGCCCATGGACATAGGAACTGACACTGCCCTTTCTCTCTGCCAGACAGACCCCGAAAACACAGACTACACAATGGAGCACGGAGCCACGCGGAACTTCCAGGCCGAGAAGCTCCTGGAGGAGGAGGAGAAGAGGGTGCAGAAGGAACGGGAGGACGAGGAGCTGAACAATCCCATGAAGGTGAGCTGGGCTCCTTGTGTGTGCGCGTGTGTGCGTGGGCAGGGGCGTGCGTATGTGCACGTGTGTGCGAGTGAGCAGGCGCTGTGGATCAGGGTGCCACAGTGGAGGCTCCTCCGCTCGCCTCCCAGCACACTGAGCCCTGCGTCCTCGCGCCCACCAGGTGCTGGAGAACCGTACCAAGGACTCCAAGCTGGAGATGGAGGTCCTGGAGAACCTGCAGGAGCTCAAGGACCTGAACCAGCGGCAGGCCCACGTAGACTTCGAGGCCATGCTGCGGCAGCACCGCCTGTCCGAGGAGGAGCGGCAGCAGCAGGAGCAGGAGGAAGACGAGAGGGAGACAGTGTGAGTCCGGGAGTCCTGGGAGCCCGCCCACCTCCCGGCCGTCGCTCGGGCCGGTCCCCTGCTGGAACCCCCCTGCCTGTCTCCCCAGGGCTCCCTCAGATGTCTTTGTCTCCCCGTGCTGCTGTAACAGAAATGCCCAAAGCGGGGGACTTCCAAGAACAGACATTTGTTTTCTCACAGTTCTGGAGGCAGGGAGCCCAAATCAGGATGTCGGCTGGACCGATTCCTTCTGGGAGCCTCTCTCCTGGTTTCTGGTGTCTGTAGTGATCTTGGCATCTCTTCTTCCCGTGCATCTCTGTGTCTACTCTGCTCTTTTCTAGCTCGGGGGTGATTAGGTTGAGGACCCATCCTCCTCGAGTACGATCTCATGAACATAGCAAAGGAAAACCCCTGTTTCCAAGCAGGGTCCTATTTAGAAGTACACGGGTTAGGGTTTCAACAAGTATTTTTGGGGGGACACAATTCAAGCCAGAACAATCACTTTCCCAGGGACACCTTCCTGCCCCCGTCCCCTCCCCATCTCGCTCTCTCTCATGGCATCTGGGTTGGGGTCCCCAAGAACACCTCCAGGTGCGATGATTCGCTAGGTGGACTCAGGACTTAGCAGGTAGCCACGCTCACAGCTGTGGTCGCTCACGGCTGTGGTCTCTCACAGCGAAAGGACACGGCACAGTCAGCAAAGGTGGCAAACACGTGGGGCAGAGTCCGGGGAGAAGCAGGCTCGAGCTTCCAGGGTGTCGCTGTGGAGGTGCGCCAGTTACAACAGGCGCTGTCCGGTCGAGCCTGGCTCCTGGCGACCCCACATATGTCAGAGTAGAGCTGTGCTCCACAGAGTTGGTTTGTTTTTAATTAATTAATTTGTTTATTTTCTAATTAAAATATTTCCTTGTGTTTTCAGTGAAAGTTTACACAGCAAATTAGGTTCCCATTTAACAAAAACAAACAAACCCGGTGCCGTGGAGTGGATTCTGACTCATAGCAACCCTATAGGACAGAGGAGAACCACCCCATAGGGTTTCCAAGGCTGTAATCTTTACGGAAGCAAGACTGTCACATCTTTCTCCCACGCAGCGGCTGGTGGGTTCGAACCATTGATCTCTTGGTTAGCAGCCGAGCGCTTAACCACTGCGTCACCAGGGCTCCTTCCCATGTTAACAATTTCTACACAGTTTGTTCAGTGACGTTGTTTACATTTTTCACAGTGTGTCAACTCTCATTATTTCCGTTCTGGTTGTTCCGTGTCTAGTGATCTAGTTCCCCTGCCCCCTTGCCTTCTCGTCTTTGCTTTTCAGTAAATGTGGACTGTTTGGTCTCATATAGATGATTATTTTATTATGCATTCTTTTTTCATTGAAAAATTTATACACGGATTGTTTTGTGACATTGATTGCAATCTCTGCAATGTGTCAGCAGTCTCCCCTCCCACTCATTCAGGTTTCCTGTCCCTTCCTGCCTTCGCTTTTGGGCAGCTGTTGCCCATTTGGTCTCAAATACTTGGTTGAGCTAAGCACATTCCTCACGTGTGCTATTGTTTGTTTTATAGACCTGTCTAATCTTTGGCTGAAAGGTGAACTTCAGGAATGACTTCAGTTCTGAGTTAACAGCGTTTCTGGGGGCTGTAGTCTCAGGGGTTCCTCCAGTCTTTATCAGACCAGTAAGTCAGATCTTTTTTTTGTGAATTTGAATTTTGTTCTACATCTTTCTCCTGCTCTTTCTGGGATGCCCTATTGTGATCCCTGTCAGAGCAGTCGGTTGTGGTGGCCGGGCACCATCTAGTTCTTCTGGGCTTAGGCTGGGGGAGGCTGTGGTTCATGTGGTCCATTAGTCCTTTGGACTGATACTTTCCTTGCCTCTTTCATTTTCTTCATTCTCCTTTGCTCCGAATGTGATGAGATCAATAGATGTGTTTTAGACAGTCGCTCGCAAGCTTTTAAGACCCCAGACGCTACTCACCAAAGTAGGATGTAGAACATTTTCTTTATGAACTATGTTATGCCAGCTGACCTAGATGTTCCCGGAGACCACGGTCCCCAGCCCTCAGCCCCGGTAACTCAGTCCCTCAAGGTGTTTGGATTTGTCTAGGAAGCTTCTATGACTTTGCCTTGGTCAAGTTGTGCTGACTTCCCCAGTATTGAGTACTGTCTTACCTTTCACCAAAGTTACCACCTATCTATTGTCCAGTTAGAGCTTTTTCCTCTCCATAACTCCCCTCCCTCGTAACCATCAAAGATTATTTCTTTCTGTGTGTAAACCTTTTCTTGAGTTTTTGTAATAGTGCTCTCGTACAACATTTGTCCTTTTGTGATTGACTGACTTCACTCAGCATGATGTCCTCCAGATTCATCCATGTTGTGAGATATTTTGTGGATTCATCATTGTTCTTTCTCATTGCATAGTACTCCATTGTGTGTATGTACCATGATTTGTTTATCCATTCATCTGTTGATGGGCACTTAGACTGTTTCCATCTTTTTGCTATTGTGAACAATGCTGCCATGAACATGGGTGTGCATATGTCTGTTCGTGTGATGGCTCTTATTTCTCTAGGACGTAGTTCTAGGAGCGGGATTGCTGGATCGTGTGATACTTCTATTTCTAGCTTTCTAAGGAGGTGCCCTATGGTTTTCCATAGTGGTTGTACCATTTTACATTCCCACCAGCAGTGCATAAGGGTTCCAATCTCCCGGCAGTCTCTCCAACATTTGTTATTTTCGATTAGTGCCAGTAATGTTGGGGTGAGATGGTATCTCAATGTAGTTTTAATTTGCATTTCTCTAATGGTTAGTGATCCCAAGTTATTTCCTCATATGTCTGTTAGCTACCTGAATATCTTCTTTGGTGAAGTGTCTGTTCATATCCTTTGCCCATTTTTTAATTGGATTAGTTGTCTTTTTGTTATTGAGGTGTTGAAGTATTCTATAGATTTTAGAGATTAGACCCTTGTTGAATATGTCGTAGCCAGAATTTTTTTCCCAGTCTGTAGGTTGTCTTTTGACTCTTTTGATGAAGTCTTTTGATGAGCAGACGTGTTTGATTTTTAGGAGCTCCCAGTTATCTAGTTTCTCTTCTGGTGCTTGTGCATTGTTAGTTATGGTTTGTATCCTATTTATGCCATGTATTAGGGCCCCTAATGTCGTCCCTATTTTTTCTTCCATGATCTTTATCATTCTAGGTTTTATATTTAGGTCTTTGATCCATTTCGACCTAGTTTTTGTGTGTGGTGTGAGGTGTGGGTCCTGTTTCATTTTCTTACAGATGGAGGTCTGGTTTTGCCAGGACTGTTGTTCAAAAGACCGTCTTTTCCCCATTTAATGGACTTTGGTCCTTTGTCAAAGATCAGCCGCCCATAGGTGGATGGATTTACATCTGGGTTCTCGATTCTGTTCCATTGGTTTATGTGTCTGTCGTTGTTCCAGTACCAGGCTGTTTTGACTACCGTGGCTGTGTATTAGGTTCTGTGATCAGGTAGTGTGAGGCCTCCTTTTTTGTTCTTCTTTTTCAGTAATGCTTGGCTGATCCAGGGCCTCTTTTTTTTCCATATAAAGTTGATTAGTTTTTCTGTCTCCTTAAAGAATGCTGTTGATATTTGAATCGGGATTGCATTTTATCTGTAGATCACTTTGGGGAGAACGGACATCTTCACAATGTCAAGTCTTTCTATCCATGAACATGGTATGTTTTTTGATTTATGTAGATGTTTTCGTTTCTTGCAGTAGCGTTTTGTAGTTTTCTTTGTCTAGGTTTTTTATGTCCCTGGTTAGAGTTATTCTGAAGCACTTTATCTTTTTAGGGGCAGTTATAAATGGTATCGTTTTCTTGATTTCCTTTTCGGAGTTCTCTTTGTTGGTGTTTTGGAATCCAACTGATTTTTCTATGTTGATCTTGTATCCTGCTACTCTGCTGAATCTTTCTCTTAGTTCCACTAGTTTTCTTGTGAAATCTTTGGGGTTCTTTGTGTATAAGATCATATCACCTGTGAATAGGGATAGTTTTACTTCTTCCTTTCCAGTTTGGATGCCCTTTATTTCTTTTTCTTGCCTTACGGCTCTAGCTAGGAATGACAGCACAGTGTTAAATAGAAGTGGTGATAAAGGGATTCCTTGTCTAGTTCCCATTCTCAGGGGGAATGCTTTCAGCCTCCCTCCGTTTAGAATGCTGTTGGCTGTTGGTTTTATATACCCACTGTCATCAAGTTGATTCCAACTCATAGCAACCCTATAGGACAGAGTAGAACTGCCCCATAAGGTTTTCAAGGAGCGGCTGGTGGATTTGAACTGCTGACCTTTTGGTGAGCAGCCAAACACTTAGCCACCGTGCCACAGGGCTCTGTTGGTTTTGTATAGATGCCGTTTATTATGTTGAGGAATTTGCCTTCTATTCTTACTTTATCATATAGATGCTTTTTTTTAAAGGAACATAGTGCTCACAGATGATACTGTTCATTTTCTGAGCCAGTCTTTTATTCAGCTAAATGATGACTTCATGGACTAGTACTGGTTCAAGGTTTAAAGAGTATCTCAGGACAGTAGTCTCAGGGAGTCTTCATAGGGTTTTCAGTGGCTGATTTTTTGGAAGTAGATTGCCAGACCTTTCTTCCAAGGCACCTGCGGGTAGGTTCGAACCTCCAACCTTTCAGTGAGTAGCTGGGTGCATTCACCGTTCACCACCCAGGGGCCCTTGGAGTTGCACAAGACACGCTTGGCTCCCAGCAGCAAGCTGTGACAACACGTTGGAAGTACCATCCACCAGGGAAGCTCATCAGAGACCCAGCGCCCAGGGTGGTTATCGGGGGCTGGTCACGTAGGCATCTCTGCCTGGCACGTCCCAAACTTCCAGACTCCCAGAAGGAAAGCAGGTGTTCAGCATAAAACCACATTGTATGCATGATTTGGGCACAGTGAGCCCCTCTTATTGGTTAGGGAATGGTGGAAATGTGATATTCAAGTTCATAGTCACCAACTGAGGGCCCGTCGTGTACACAGGCCTCAGTATTGCTATTTTAGTTCTGTTTTGCATGACATCTGTTATTTTCTAAAGTCCATGAGTGGTACAAATTATTTATGCTTGACTATTAACCTAAAGATTGGCAGTTTGGTGCCACTGAAGAAAGGCGTGGTGATTTGTTTCTGTATAGATATTACAGCCAAGAAAAGCCTACGGAGCAGTTTTCTACTCTGTAACACACAGAGTCGCCATGAGTCAGAATTGACTTGATGGCAACGGGTTGTGACTTTCTAGAAGCTTCTTGTTGACTCATCCCTTTCCTGGTGTATCATCTCTCTTCCCTCCTTGAGATTCTGAGCTCTTAGAGAGCAGGGGCCTTTTGCCTGGCTTCTATGGCTTCCCCAGGACCTGGAACAGCTAAGCCTTACTTGGCACCTGTTGGGCGGGCAGATCAGTGATGGCAGGGGTAACGGTGGGCCCCTTCTCGTTGCAAGGCACCATTTGCATTTCTCGCTCCTAACCACAGCCTTGGAGGTTGGCATGAGCATTATGACAAGTGAGGGGACTGTTATGGATTGAATTGTGTCCCCCAAAAATGTGTGTCAACCAGGCTAGGCCATGATTCCCAGTATTGTGTGATTGTCCACCGTTTTGTGATCTGATGTGATCATCCTGTGTTATAAACCCTACCTCTATGACGTTAATGAGGCAGGATTAGAGGCAGTTATGTTAATGAAGCAGGACTCAATCTACAGAATTAAGTTGTGTCTTGAGTCAATGTCTTTTGAGACATAAAAGAAGGGAGCAGAGAGGAGAGGGACCTCATTGTCACCAAGAAACAAGAGCCAGGAGTGGAACACATCCTTTGGACCCAGGGTCCCTGCACTGAGAAGCTCCTAGACCAGGGGATGATTGATGACAAGGACCTTCCCCCAGAGCCGACAGAGAGAGAAAGCCTTCCTCTGGAGCTGATGCCCTGAATTTGATTTCTAGCCTCTTAGACTGTGAGAGAATAAATTTCTGTTTGTTAAAGCCGTCCACTTGTGGTATTTCTGGTAGAGCAGCACTAGATGAATAAGACAGGGACCGAGGTCCAAGGGAGCCTCTTGACTGCCCCAAGGTCCCTACGCCAGGATTCGAATCCAGACAGGCAGGTCCCAACATCTGAGCACTTAACCACTCCACTGTCCTCAACAGAGAAGTTATAAAAAGAAGAGAAAGAAGGGGAATCTCTGCGACCCCCCTGTATGCCATGGCACTCCAGCCCCCCTGACCTTGGCTGGTGCAGGGAAGGTGCAGCTCTGTCCCCCAGAAGGAACATGCCCCTGAGCCCCCGTGTTCTGTCCCCGCCAGACATGTCCCTGGGCCCCCATGTTCTGCGCCCTGAGCCCTGTGTTCTGTCCCCAAGCCCCCATGTTCTGTCCCTGCAGAGCCCCCGTGTCGTGTCCCCTGAGCCCCCGTGTTCTGTCCTCGCAGGGCCTTGGTGGAGGAAGCCAGGAAACGACGCCTGCTCGAGGACTCCGACTCGGAGGACGATGCTGCCCCCGCCCCGCCTCGGCCAGCCACCCGGCCCAAGCCCACCGCCATCCTGGACGAGGTGAGCTCACCTTTGGGGTGGGGCCAGCTCAGCCTTTTCCTAAAGAGCCAGCCAGTAAGTATGTTCAGCGCTGCAGCCAGATGTGTCTGTCAGAGCCGCTCAGCTCTCCTGTTGTGGCCGAAGCAGCCATGGGTGAGATGTAAATGAATGGGTGTGCTGTGTGCCAATAAAACTTTATTTATAAAAACAAGTGGCCGGCTGGTGGTGCTGTAGTTTGCCAACCCGTGTTTAAGCTGCTGAAGTATAGACACCCCCACATCCAAGGAGGTCCCTGGGTGGACCTCCTTTTGGTTAGAGCTTGGCTGCTAACCAAGCAGTTGGCAGTTTGAATCCACCAGCCACTCCTTGGAAACCCTGTGGGGCAGTTCTGTGTTCTGTAGGGTCACTGTGAGTCAGAATCGACTCGACAGCACATAACAACAAAAACAGTGGGGAAAAATAAAAAAATAACATCCACATGCCAGCAGCATTTTATTTTAATGTAAAACATATTCACGTTCAGCATTAGTGAGCATACAGGGTCAGCCACGGGGCAAGCCTCAAAGTAACAGCAGCTTCCTGAGATTGAAGTTCACTTTCTCTCAGATAACAGCCACGCACGAGTGATCCGGAGCGGGGACGGTAGACCCGTGGGGTCCGGCCAGGCGCCTGCCTTCTCATCCGTCCCCAGGATGCTGTCCTTTTTGTGTGGCATTTCAGTGCTACGTCTGCATCCCAGCCAGTGCACAGGGCCAAGGAGTGGGGAGGAGGACATTTAAGGCACCACCCTTAGTTGAAGGAGCTGTAGTGGCACAACGGTTAAGCACTCTGCTGCGAACCAAAAGGTTGGTGGTTTGATCCCACCCAGTGGCTCCTCGGGAGAGAGGCCTGGCAGTCTGCTCTTGTAAAGATTCCAAAAAACCAAAACCAAACGCATTGCCGTGGAGTTGATTCCAACTCACAGGGACTTTCTAGGACAGTGTAGAACTGCCCCATAGTTTCCAAGGAGCACCTGGTGGATTTGAACTGCTGCCCTTTTGGTTAGCAGCCAAACACTTAACCACTGTGCCACCAGGGCTCCCTTGTAAAGCTGACAGCCTAGAAAACTCTATGAGGCAGCTTTACTCCATCACATGAGGTCGCTATGCGTCAGTAGTGACTCCATGGCACCCAACAACAACAAGCCTTGATTGAGTACATCACATTAGTCAGAAATGAGCTCCCTGACCATATCCAGCTGCAAAGGACTTTAGGAAGTGTAGTCTTTAGTGGAGGCAGCCGTGTTCCAGCTCAGAATTCTGTACGTGTTAGAAGGGAGAACAGGCAGAAGCCTTGAGTGCCAAGTTTATGGCAATAGGGAGCTATAGAGGAATGTGGAGCAGGGGAGAGACTTGCTCATAGCAGAGGGGCTGAGGCTGGTAAAGCACTCTCCAGCAGCTCACTCAGCAGGGTCTTGTGGGCCAGGAGGCCAGGGAAGAGGCTGGATCTGGGGCTGATCACCCGCTCGTGTCCCCCCATCGCCCTGCAGGCCCCAAAAGCGAAGAGGAAGGGGGAGAGCTGGGAGCGGAGCATCGGCACCCTCGGCAGCAGGTCCCAGCTGTCAGGCCTGGTGGTGGTGAGGAAGACAGACCTGGACCGTGGCACCCAGCACAGCCAGCAGGTGCTCACCCCTGGTGAGTGAGTTCCCGGGGTCTGGAGCTAAACACAGTGGCCCCCAACGGCCTGTAGGGGGCAGCAGTGCCCTCACTGCTTTCTGGGGCCTTCATGGGATGGGGCTTGAGCTGTGCCTCCCCTCCCCAGGGCCAATTCCACAGAGGTAAGGGGAGAAGGAATGAACCCTAGGGTGTAAATGGTTAAGCACTGCGCTGGTAACTGAAAGATCTGCGGGAAAAAAGACCTGGCGATCTGCTCCTGTAAAGATTGTTGTTGTTAGATGCTGTTGAGTCAGTTCGGACTCTTAGTGACCCCATATACAACAGAATGAAACGCTGCCCGGGCCTGCGCCATCCTCACCATCGTTGCTGTGTTTGAGCCCATTGTTGCAGCCACTGTGTCAGTCCATCTCGCAGAGGGTCTCCCTCTTTTTCGCTGACCCTGTTATTTTACCACTTATCTGTCAGTTTGTCATACCGTGGTAGCTTGCGTGTTGCTGTGATGCTGGAAGCTATGCCATGGTGGACAGGTTTCAGCTGAGCTTCCAGACTAAGACTAGGAAGAAGGACCTGGCGGTCTACTTGTGAAAAAATTGGCCAGTGAAAACCTTACGAATAGCAGCGGAACGTTGTCTGATACAGTGCCGGAAGATGAGCCCCCAGGTTGGAAGGCACTCAAAACACAACCGGGGAAAAGCTGCCTGCTCCTGCTTAATGACGTGGATGGAATAAAGCTTTCAGGACCTCCTTCTGCTGATGTGGCATGACTCAAAATGAAAAGAAACAGCTGCAAACATCCAGTAATAATCGGAATGTGATGTGGACTTCTTGCTTGGTAGAGTAGAGGGTCAGCGAAAAAGAGGAAGACCCTCCACGAGATGGATTGACACAGTGGCTGCAACAATGGGCTCAAGCATAACAATCATGAGGATGGCTCAGGACCGGGCAGTGTTTTGTTCTGTTGTACGTAGGGTCGCTGTGAATTGGAACCAACTCGACAGCACCTAAGAACAAGTACCTTACCAAGCATGATGTCCTTCTCCAGGGGCTGGTCCCTCCTGACCACGTGTCCAAAGTACGTGAACGAAGTCTCGCCATCCTCACTTCTAAGGGGCGTTCTGGCTGTACAAGACAGATTTGTTCCTTCTGGCAGTCCATGGTATATTCAGAATTCTTCACCAACACCAACATAATTCAAAGACATCAATTCTTCAGTCTTCCTTATTCTTTGTCCTTCGATCTTCCTTATTCATTGTCCAGCTTTCGCATGCATATAAGGCAACTGAAAACACCATGGCTTGGGTCAGGCACACCTTAGTCCTCAAAGTGACATCTTTGCTTTTTAGCACCTTAAAGAGGTCTTTTGCAGCAGATTTGCCCCATGCCATAGGTCATTTGATTTCCTGACTGCTGCTTCCATGGGTGTTGGTTGTGGATCCAAGTAAAATGAAATCCTTGACAACTTCAATCTTTTCTCCGTTTATCATGATGTTGCTTATTGGTCCAGTTGTGAGGATTTTTGTTTTCTTGATGTTGAGGTGTAATCCATACTGAAGGCTGTGGTCTTTGATCTTCATCAGTAAGTGCTTCAAGTCCTCTTCACTTTCAGCAAGCAAGATTGTGTCATCTGCGTAACGCAGGTTGTTAATGAGTCTTCCTCCAATCCTGATGCCCTGTTCTTCTTCATATAGTCCAGCTTCTTGGATTATTTGCTCAGCATACAGATTGAATAAGTATGGTAAAAGGATATACCCTGACGCACACCTTTCCTGACTAAACCACGCAGCATCCCCTTGTTCTGTTGGAATGACTGTCTCTTGGTCTATGTACGGGTTCTGCACGAGCACAATTAAGTGTTCTGGAATTCCCATTCTTCACAATGTTATCCGTAGTTTGTTACGATAATTACTGGTGATTGGAATGTGAAATCCAGAAACAGAAGATAGAAGGATCAGTAGTTGGAAAATATGGCCTTGGTGATAGAAGTGATGTCAGAGATCACAGGATAGAATTTTGCAAGACCAACGACTTCTTCATTGGAGATACCTCTTTTCAACAACATAAATGGCAACTATATATACACGTGGCCCTCGCTGGATGGAAGACACGGGAATCAGATCGACTACATTTGTGGGAAGAGATGATGGAAAAGCTCAGTATCATCAGTCAGAATGAGACCAGGGGCCGACTTGGGGAACAGACCCTCAGTTGCTCGTATGCAAGTTCAAGTTAAGCTGAAGGAAATTTAGAACAAGTCCACCAGAGCCAAATTACAACCTTGAATATATCCCGTAAAGATGACAGCCCAGATTACCCGATGGGGTAGTTCTGCTCTGTCACGTGGGTTGCTGTGAGTCGGAAGTAACTTGATGGCACCTTCAACAACGGGGAGGAAGAATGGACTTTCTTTCTTTTTTTAATTACAAATTCTTAAAAGCCGAAGTCACATAGCCAGTAACCCACTCTGCTTCTCCCCCAGGCGCCCCACACAACCAGAAGCCGGCTGACCCTGCACCCCAGACGCCTGGCGCCTCCTCCCTGAGCCAGCTGGGCGCGTACTCAGATAGCGAGGACAGCAGCGGCAGCAGCTGAGCCCCGCCCAGACCCTTCCCAGGTCTCAGGATGGCTTGGCCGCGTGGGAGGGCCGGCGGTTAGGGCAGAAGTCAGGGAACCTACCAGAACCAGGACTGGACAGGCAGGACCATCTTCTGACGGACAGGCCCCTCTCCTTCCTGCCACCCACCCTCTATGGCCTCAGGGGCCCTGTTCATCCCGCCCCACCTGGCACAGAGACCGGGCCTTGGATGTCCCATGAACTTCCCTCAGCCTTCATAGGCCCTCCTGGGTCCCTGTTTGGACCGTCTCTGAGACCCTCAGTGGTGTTTGGGGGATGTGGCTCAGCTTGCCTTCCACCCACAGAACTATCTGGAACCAATAAAAGGAATCCAACTGTCTTAGCCATCTAGTGCTGCTCTAACAGAAATACCACAAGTGGATGGCTCTAACAAAGAGAAGTTTATTTCCTCACAGTAAAGTAGGCTACAAGTCCAAATTCAGGGCGTCAGCTTCAGGGGGAGGCTTTCTCTGTCTGTCGGCCCTCATCAGTCTTCCCCCGGACTAGGAGCTTCTCTGCGCAGGGACCCCAGGTCCAAAGGATGCCCTCTACTCCTGGCACTGCTTTCTTGGGGGTATGGTCCCCAAATCTCTGCTTGCTTCCCTTTTACCTCTTAAGAGGTAAAAGGTGGTGTAGGCCACACCCCAGGGAAACTCCCTTTACATTGGATCAGGGATGTGACCTTAGTAAGGGTGTTACAATCCCACCCGAATCCTCTTTAATGTAAAATTACAATCACAAAATGGAGGACAGCCACACAATACTGGGAATCATGGCCCAGCCAAATTGATACACACATTTTTGGGGGGATATAATTCAATCCACGACATCGATGAACAGGCCTGGGTACCTCCTCTCTGCCCGCCTTCGAGGTGGAGATCTCAGGAGTGAGGCCTCTGTTAGCACAAAACCCAAACCAGTTGCCGCCGCTTCGACTCTGACTCATGCGGACCCCGTGTGTGTCAGAGTAGAACTGTGCTCCATAGGGTTTTCAATGGCTTGGTTTTTAAGAATTAGATTTCCAGGCCTTTCTTTGGAGCCGCGTCTAGGTGGATTTGAACCTCCAGCTTTTCGCTGAGTAGCTGAGTGCGTTAACCATTTGCACCCCCCAGGGACTCCCAGTCCTTGGCTTACTCCACAAAGACGTCCAGCTGCCTCTGGGATACACCAAGCTTAGGGTCAGGCACGTGGCATTTGGCTGTGAACAGGCTAGGAAAAAATATCTCTGTCTCTCCGCTCGAGGAGCTTACGGTCTGCAAGGAGAAATACGGTAATCATAATAAGCAAGGGAATTCAGTGGTATGTTAGCTGCCATCGAGTTGGCGCCCTACTCATGGTGACCCCCACACAACGGAACACTGCCCAGTCCTGCACTATCCCCATGAACAGTTGCAGATTGGACCGCTGCGACCCCTAGGGTTTTCACTGGTGATTTACGGAAGCCAATCACCAGGCCTTTCTTCCTAGTCTGTCTGAGTCTGGAAGCTTGGTTGAAACCTGTTCAGCATCCTAGCAACAGGCAAGCCTCCAGGGAGAGACAGGTGGTGGCTGCGCACGAGGTGCCTTGGCCGGGAATCGAACCCTGGTCTCTGTGTGGAAGGTGAGGATTCTGTCACTGAGCCACCGCTGCCTCCTGGAATTTTTTTAAATTCTGATTTTTCCTGCGAGCTGGCAGGCCTTGTTCTCTGGCCCCGTGTTCTGAGAGCGGTTTGCCCTTGGCCCCCAATTCCCTGTGGGTCCCAGCGCTGACGGAGCGGGGGAACAGGCACAGCCACACGCTGGGGTCTGTCGCTGGTGCCAGCCCAGCCCGCTGCCCTGCGCTGCCCCCTTCCCAGGCGCTCCCGCCCTGGAGACTGTCCTCCCTGTCGGCGTTGACAGTCCCCGCTCCCGGCTCGCTCCGTTCCTGTCATCTTGTCCTTGGAGCTGTCGGGCCTTATCTGAAATCTTTTCCATCAACTCCACCGAGCTGCCAGAGCACATCAGAGGTGGTGCGGGGGTCACCCCGCCCGCCTGAGCCTGAGCCGGGCTTCACAAAGGAAAGGGGGACTGCTCACACTTCCCAGGGCCTTCGCGGTACACCAGGCTCTACACCAAGCTCTCTGCACTCCGGCACCCTCAGCCTGCTCCTCCTTGGGGGCCCCTATTCCCCCATCTCACAGCCACCGGCAGAGGGCTCGCAGGAAGTAGGGACCCGCAAGGCTCCAGGGGCCATGCCTTGAGTCACCCCATGTCCTCGTTCTCTAGAGCGGCTATAACAGCAATACCACAGGTGGATGGCTTTAACAAATTTATTCTCTCACAGTCTAGGAGGCTGGAAGTCCCATTTCAGGGTTCCGGCTCTAGGGGAAGGCTTTCTCTCTCTCTGGGCTTTGGGGGAAGGTCCTTGTCTCTTCTGAGCTTCTGCTCCTGGGCGGTCTTCACGTGGCTGGGCATCTCTCTTCCCCTGTCTCTGCCTGCCTCTTTCTCCCTAATCAGCTTGGTTTATATCTCTTATAGCTCAGAAGAGATTGACTCAAGGTATACCCTGGACTAATCCAGCCTCATTGACCTAACAAAGATAACCCATTCCAAATGGGATTGTGACCACAGGCATAGAGGTTAGGATTTATTACACATTTTTAGGGGACACAGTTCAATCCATAACACCCCACTTCATGGCGACTCCTGCAGACTGGGAGTCTCCAGGGGCAGGGCCCTGCCTCCTCCATCCGGTTAGGGACTTAGGAGGACAGCGCCCCATCTCCCCCATCAACTGGGGCCCTTGGAGGTTGGAGCACCCCACACTCATCAGTCCCTGGAGGAGGATGTCATGTTTGGTATAGCGGAGGGTCAGCGAAAAAGATCCTCAAGATGGATTGACACAGTGGCTGCAACAATGGGCTCAAGCATAGCAACGACTGTGAGGCTGGCACAGGACCAGGCAGTGTTTCATTCTGTTGGACATGGAGTCACTATGAGTTGAAACCGACGCGATGGCATCTAACAGCCACCACCCCCATCAGACTAGGGGTCCTTGAAGGCAAAACTTCGTCTCATCCATCAAATTGAGGGTCCATGAAAGTGAGGACATGTCTCCCCTTTCCCACTGGGGAGTTCTGAGGGCAGGGCCATGTCTCCCCCATCAGCCTGGGGCCTTCTGAGCATCACTAGGGTTGGTGTCACCCCCCCATGAACATCATCCCGTACCAGACCATACAGAATCCTTAATAATGTTTATTATCGTTTTTAATCATCAAATCATACGTGGTGAATATGGTTATAAATTGTGTAAATGTAATATTTCTTAGATTATATGAATACCAACAACAAAATTGTTTTGTAAAATCTACACTGAATTACATTATTAGTTACATTATTAGTAACTGAGCAGAAGCCTTCTATGATTTTTCTGTTTTTCCTTTAATTACTACTTCATTCTCAAAAAAGTTGTTGATATATAAAAAAACAAACCAAACCCATTGCCATCAAGTCGATTCCAACTGATAGTGACCCTGTAGGACAGAGTAGAACTGCCCCGTAGGGTTTCCAAGGAGCAGCTGGTGGATTTGAACTGCCGACCTTTTGGTGAGTAGCCAATCTCTTAACCACTGTGCCACCAGGGCTCCAGTTACTGATACAGGTTCGCAAAGTACCACAGTATTGTAGCAAAAACACCAGAACATTTAACAAAATCATCAACTCTAGAAACACCAGCAGCAATGAAAACAGCACGTGCTTATAGAGCGTACAGACAAAACCACGTGATTCAAAGAGCCGTGGTAATTGGGTAATTGACAGCTCTGACCGAAGCACATTTAGAAGGTTCAAGAACTAAATTAGCATAGAGTTTTAGCCTGGTAGGTATATTGATACATGTAAGCTGGGCTTACGAAAAATGTTTTTGTTGTTATCACTAGGAGCCCTGGTGGCGCAGTGGTTAAGAGCTACGGCTGCTAACCAAAAGGTTGCCAGTTTGAATCCACCGGCCACTCCTTGGAAACCCTATGGGGCAGGTCTACTCAGTCCTGGAGGGTCACTATGAGTTGCAGTCGACTCAACGGCAATGGGTTTTACAAGTGTTGTAACTAACTACAGGGATATCTTTATTAAAAAATAATGAACTTCTGCTGAAATACTGAACAAAAATTTTTTACAAACAGTCTTTTTGGTGTCACCCCCCCCAAGAGTGTCACCGTTGCCGTTCGCACGCCCGCACCCCCCTGGTGACGCTGATCTTCTGAAGACAGAAGTTGCCTCCCCTCTCAGAATAGGAGCCCCTAAGTCAGGGCCACGTCTCCCCCATCAGACTAGGAGTTTTCGGGCCCCAGCGGGGCCACCACGTCTACCCCTGCCTGGTCCACTTCCGCCCTGGTGCCTCGGCTCTTATCCCCCCTCCAGACTCAGGAATCCAGGTCCTGCTTCAGAGACGGGAGAAGGGCCGAGAGGCAGGCACAGCCCCCAGCCAGGGACCCCCACCTGGCCTCTGTCTGAGGTTCCTCCATGCTAAGCATATATTGAGCACCTGCTGTGTGCCACACACTGCTTGTGGTGGTTGAATGTGGGTGCTGGAGCCAGGCCGCATAGGTTCAAATCCTGGCTCCGACACACCTGCTGTGTGACCGTGGGAAATGACTTCTCTGTGCCTCAGCTGTCTCATCTGAAAAGTGGGGAAATGCAGCTTAAACGAATTCATTCCTGTTTCACCAGAAGCGTGTCCGTGTTCATTCAGAAAGCACCAGCAATTCCAGCCCCACACACACATCCAAGAAAAATGCAAACACGCGCTCACCCGAAAACTTGTAGACCAACGATTACAGCCTCATGATTCACCACAGGTAGAAGGTGGAAACAACCCAGCTGTCCATCAGCAGATGCTGGATAAACACGTGGTCCATCCGTACAGCGGAATATCACTCAGCCGTAAAGGGCGACGAAGTCCTGCTACACGATACGACGTGGACGACTCTTGAAAACATCACACTCAGTGAAAGAAGCCAGACACAAAGGCTCAGATGTCTGATTTCGTTGATGTGAAATAGCTAGAACAGACAACGCCATAGAGACAGAAAGCAGATTAGTGGTTTCCAGGGGCTGGGGGCTTAGGGAGAATGAGGAGTACAAAGGGGCACAGGCCTTCTTTTTGGGATGATGGAAATGTTTCAGAGCTCGGTGATGGTTGCACAACTTTGTGAAGATACCAAAAACCTCTGAAGTGTACACTCTTAAAGGGTGGGTTTTATGGTTATATGAATTCTATCTCAGTTTAAGAAAGAAGAAAGGAAGGAATGAAAAAAGGAAGGAAGGAGGGAGAGGGAGGAAGCTGGAAAGGAAAAGCATTGAGAACAGCCCCTGGCAATAAGGGCTCAACAGAAGGTAGCTGTTATCATGCGCCCATTTCACAGATGAGGAAAACAGTTCCCATCATGACCCAAGGTCAAGCAGGCTGACCCAACGTCAGAACCTGCTCTCTGAAGAACCCAATTCCAAGAAGCCCCACCCTGCAGGAGCCCCTGATAAACTGCCTCTCAGACAGACTGGAGTCTACAGTGGACTGCCAGAAGAACGAACAAATCTGTCTTGGAAGAAGTACAGCCACAATGCTCCTGAGAAGTGAGGATGGCGAGACTACATCTCGTGTACTTTGGACATGCTGTCAGAAGGGACCATGGAGAAGGACTTCATGCTTGGTAAAGTAGAGGGTCAGTGAAAAAGAGGAAGACCCTCAAAGAGATGGACTGACACAGTGGCTGCAGCCATGGGCTCAAGCATAACAACGATTGTGAGGACGGCGCAGGCCCGGGCAGTGTTTCCTTCTGTTGTACACGGGGTGGCTGTGAATTAAAACCAACTGGAAGGCACCTAACAGCAACGACAAACGCGGAGTGCCAGCCAGGAGAAAGAGGATCCGCACAGCCTGGGACCCCAGACCACCCCACCTTGCCTTTGTCCTCATAGTACCATCCTCCCCCGCCCCGCACCCCTTATTCCCCTCGTCTCCCCATCTGAAAGCCAGAGCCCAGCAGGTTATGTGGCTGGCTCAAGGTCACACCCAAGGTCACCTAACCCCAGCCTGGCTGGTGCTCATCCTCCTCCTGCTGCCCAGCACCCCTCTGGCTCCTGTCCTCAGGGTGGGAGGCAGCCCCAGGAGAAGCCAGCTCAAAAGCACAGGGAAGTCAAATGCCCGTTTGATTCTGCCTCGGGGCTCCTAATTGCTATTCCTGCCGCAGACTGTAATTAGAAGCCCCTTTCAAATATTTATACCACAGACGCCGTGTATTTATCCGACGGGGAGAGGACTCGGATTTGATGAGATCTGTCAACAGCTCATCCCCGAGCCGGGAATTGCCTCGCGGCTGACAGAAAACAGGACAATTACCCGCCGTGCTCCTGGGCGTCCCCGGGGGACGCTGCCTTGTCACAGATGGGAGCAGGTGGGGCTGGTGGGGGAAGGCACTCTGAATGTGATTCCAGAGAGAGGACCCAGCTCAACAGGTTAGTGTTGGAAGACACCGCCAGTGCGGGGAGGGAAGGGAAGGGGCGTGTGGAGGCCTCTGCTGCTGTCAGGCGCCTTGCTTGTCGTCTCAGAGCCTCAGTTTCCCCATCTGGAAAACGGTGCTAATAGTGGAGGGGACGGGGAGAGCCACTGATTCCACAGAAACATTCTGGTGGGCCTTGAGTGTCACCCCAACCCCGGCCACATGATGGTACTCAGTCAGAAATGAGCTGCAAGACCCTCCCCCTCTGTGTGCCTCTGTTTCCCCATCTGCAAAATGACAACGTTGGGCTCTGGTGTGGTGGGACTTGGTGATAACTTGGTCCCTTCTGGAGCTCGTTGGGCTCACTGGGTTTACCTCCTGTCGGTGTGCGTTGAGTCGACGCCGATTCACAGCGACCCCATGTGACAGAGTAGAACGGTACCGTAGGGTTTTCTAGGCCGTAGTCTTTACAGGAGCAGATCGCCAGGTCTTTCTCCAGTGGAACAGCTGGGCGGGTTCGAACCACCAGCCTTCTGGTTAGCAGCCAAGCGCTTAACTGTTGCGCCACCAGGCCTGCTCGTTTACCTAGTAGAAGCCTCATTTTTCAGATGAAGAAACGGAGAGGTAGGGAGTGGCAGGCCCTCTCCCTTCCAAACCACCCCATTCTTCCTGACCCCCTCTCTCTTAACTCCAGTCAGTGGGGGGGGGCGGAGAGGACAGAGCAAGCCCCCTTAGAGAGAAAGAAGAAATATCTTTGCTCTGGAATGAGTTAGCAGCCCCCTTTTCTGCCCTCATCCCCCAAACCTCTTAGTGTCCCCCCTCCACACACACACACAGCTGCAGCTGCCAAGGGGCCCAGGCAAGCGAGACCCCTCTTCTCCCCACCCCCCCAAGAAGTCACAAAGGGACAGATGCTGAGCCACAAGCCAGGCACAGATCCCATCTCTTTCCCTGACCAGCTGCCCCGACTCCCAACCCCCATCCTGCAATTAGTCCCCTGGGGAGAGGGGGGCTCAAACAGCCCTCTTGGGGGAGGGGAAGCCAGATTCCCTTCCCTTGCCTCGCCTCCCCCGGCTGTGTCAGTGTCAAAGTTGTCAATGTCGATTTGAGACAGTCACCTCTCCAACAGTCTCCACACTGCCAATCTCCTGGGCAGTGTGGCGGCCAGATCCTAGTTCAATATCAACACTCAAAAGCGGTCAATTTCACCCCTTGTGGCGGTCAAGTCCAGCCCCCTATTTCCGGGTCAATTTCTCCCTCCCTTCCCTCAGCCCCCTCCTCCCGCTGCCCCCTCGTTCTCCCGAGCCTGTCAACCCTTGTCCATGCCCACCTCCCGCGCTCTTCGCTCGCTCCGGCCACCCTCGGGCCTCCGGGTCGGTGTCCAGCTGCTGCGGCCTGGGCACAGCGACTCCCGCCCCCCGCGTCCCCCCTTCCCTCCGCGAGCAGCGGCTCCCCGCCCTCCCCAGAACAGCTGAAGGTCTCAGTCACCTCCGAGGGGCGCGCGGGGGAGGAGAGGGAGCAGCGGAGGGGGAGGCGGGGGAGCTTTGACGTCGCTGCCCCGGATGCGGCCCGCAGGGGCTGGGGCGTCCGCCTGCGCGCCTCCTCCCCAAAGTCCCACCTCCCGGCTGCGCGCCGGCGGTGGCGGCGGCGACAGGGAAAGTGTCTCCGAAAGCGTGAAGGGGGATTGGAGGAGGGTTTTATTTCCCTTTGTGCGGGATCGAGGCGGCCGGGCCGGGGGCGGCGGGATTGGGGCTCCCCCGGGAGCGCAGAGGAGCGCGACAAAGGCTGCACCTCCCCGGGGTCGCGCTCCTCGCCGCGCAACTTTACGCACGGCGCCGGCGCCCCGGGGGAATCTTACCGCTGCGCTGAGGACCCAGGCGTCCCGGCTGAGCGGAGGGCCGGGGGCCCCCTGGACTGGATCTCGGAGCTGCCCGAAGGCGCGGGTGGCCGAGCCGCGCACGGGGACCGCGCTGCCCGCGGGAACTCCGCACGCCTCCGCGGATGTCCCTCGCCCTGGCCGGGCGACCCAGCGCTCGGCGTTCAGGGCCCTTCGGGGCTCTCCCTTCCCCCGCGGTCCTGCCTGAGCCGGGCTAAGGTGGGCTTTCGCTACTCCTCCCTCTCCCTCCCGCGTCCTCTGCCTCCCTTTCCTCTTTCTCTCCTTTGCGCCCTCGTCTTTTTCCCGCCTCGGCGCTGAGCCCAGCCTAGGGGCGCACCTGATCTCTCTCCTCCTCCTTCCCTCTTCTTCCTTCCATCCTTCTCCTTCTCCCTGGGGGGATTCTGCCAAGGAAGGGGGCCAGGAAGCGGGGATGCTGGTCCCCTTCTGACAGTGGCCGGGTTTGGGGAGGACCCGCGCCCAAATGGCCAAGTGGCTCCGGGACTACCTGAGCTTCGGAGGCCGGCGACCCCCTCCGCAGCCTCCCACCCCCGACTACTCGGAGAGCGACATCCTGAGAGCCTACCGCGCGCAGAAGAATCTAGACTTCGAGGACCCGTATGAGGACGCCGACAGCCGCCTGGAGCCGGACCCCGCCGGCCCCGGGGACCCCAAGGGCCCCGGAGACACCAAGAACGATTCTCCCAAGCACCGGCTCATCAAGGTGGAGGCCGCAGCTATGACCAAGGCCAAGGCCCTGCTGGGCAGCCCTGGGGAACAGGTGCGTGGCTGAGGCTGAGTGGCCCTAAGAGACTGGGTGGGGAGGGTCGGGCTGGGTCCCCAGAATTTGGGGAGCTTGTTTTGTGTGGGACCCCAGGGGCAGCCTAGGGCACCAGCCAGACCTCAGCCCTCCGACTGCTTGGGGGGATTTGATTTTCTGTTCCTTTTCCATGTCTGGCCCTGCTGTCCTCCTACTTCTGTGACTGTCCCTGCTTTGTCCTCTTAGTGGGTGTCTCCCGCTCCCTAGTCCCCCATCGTCCACGTCCCCTCCTTCTCTTAGTAACTGGCAGGCTCTTCCTGAAACAGATCTGAGCGAATTAATCCCCTGCTGGGCACTTTAAGATCCTCACCGCTACTCTCTGCCTTGGCTCCCTGGGTGGCACAAACAGTTAAGTGCGCAGCTGGGAGCCCGAAGGTTGGCGATTGAAATCCACCCCAGATGTGCATCAGAAGAAAGGCCTGGCGATCTGCTTCCAAAAGGTCACAGCCTTGAAAACCCTATGCAGTAGCTCTAGTCTGCACACTGGAATCGCCATGAGTCAGAACTCAGTGCTGCTAGTATTCCCATTTTACAGATATGGAAACTGAGGCTCACAGAAGAGAAGCAATTGACCCAAGGTCACACAGCTCTAGCTTGTTAGGCTTAGAACCCAGAGCTGACCCCAATGCCCATGCTTCTCTTCAATACTTTTCCTAGAGGGTCAGGGAGTGGACCCCAAAGCCTCAGCGGAGACAGGAGCCAGAGAAGGGTTTGAGGAGGGATACAGGAGGCTGGGGGGCAGTGGTGGCTTCCACGTGGAAGACCTGGATTCAGTTCTCTCCTGGCCTGTGACCCCTCGAGTGCGACCCCCACCCGTCTGTCAGTCGAGGCTTGCGTGTTACTACAAGGCTGAACAGGTTTCAGCAGAGCTTCCAGACTAAGGTGGACTAGGAAGAAAGGCCTGGCACTCTACTTCCAAAAATCAGTCAACAAAACACAACAGTTTGATCCACAGCTGATCATGAGGATGGCTCGGAACCAGGCAGGGTGTCATTCCGTTGTGCGTAGGGTTGCCGTAAGTCTGGGGCCGACTTGACAGCAGCGAACAACAACAGCGAGAGCTGCGCTGGGTGCTGGTTAAGAGCATGGGAAGAACAAGAGAAGGCAGGGGCTCGGAGGAACTAGACAGTCTGGGATCAAATCCCGCCTCTATCACCAGCTGTGTGACCCTGCGGAAGCCACCTAACCTCTCTGGGCCTCAGTTCCTTCATCTATAAAACGGGATAATGTACTTACTGAGTTCTGCTATTACAAGTAAATACATGTAAAGCACTTACAACAGTGAGGGTGGGAACCCGATAAACATCATGGTGGCGCGGTGGTTAAGAGTTCAGCTGCTAACCAAAAGGTTGGCAGTTCGAATCCACCAGCTGCTCCTTGGAAACCCTATGGGGCAGTTCTACTCTGTCCTGCAGGGTTGCTGTGAGTCTGAATCAACTGGACAGCAATGAGTTTTTTTTTTGTTTTGTTTTTTTTGTTTTTAGTTGTGGAAGGAGGGTGGCAGATGTCTGTGTCTGAGAGAATCAGGGTGGAAGGAGGGAGAGAGTGAGAGAAGCCAGCATCTGTCTGTAAGCACTTGTGGGAGGTAGAGAAGACCCCCCGTTTTTGTTGGGTGTCCTCGAGTCGATTTTGACTCACAGTGACCCCACGTGACTGAGCAGAACTGCCTCATAGGGTTTTCTAAGCTGTCATCTTTACAGAAGGAGATGGCCAGGTCTTTCTCCTGTGGAGCCACTGGGTGGGTTTGAACCACCAGCTTTCTGGTTAATAGCTCAGCACTTAACCATTATACTACCAGGTCTCCTTAGAGAAGCCTCCCTACCCCCCAGAATGAACTGGTGGGAGGAGATGTGTCAGATGGCCCAGAGAGATTAAGCAAGCAGTGTAGCATCTCCCAGCAGGGGGTGTCCAGAGCTAGGCCTGACCCCTGAGCCCTTGTCCCCTCCTCTCCTCTCTCTCCCCAGCCGGAAGCTGACACCGAATATTCAGACCCTTTTGATGCCCAGCCTCATCCGCCACCCCCAGATGATGGTTACATGGAGCCCTACGATGCCCAGTGGGTCGTAAGCGGTGAGCAGGCAGGAGCTGGAGGGAGGTGACAGGGTCCCAGGTGGGTGTGGGAGCTGACTGGTGTCCTCGGCTCCACAGAACTGCCTGGCAGGGGGGTGCAGCTGTATGACACTCCCTATGAGGAGCAGGAACAAGAGCCAGGGGGCGACCCCCCTCCCGGGGGACAGAAACCTCGACAGAGCCGTCTGCCCCAGGAAGATGAACGGCCAGCGGATGAGTATGACCAGCCCTGGGAGTGGAAGAAAGACCACATCTCCAGGGCTTTTGCAGGTGCTTCTCCTACCCAGACCCTGACCTCTGAATGCCCTCATCCCTCTACTTCCTGATTTGGTCATATCCCCTGTTTCCACTACAAAATAGAGCCTAATTACCTGGCACTTGTTTTTCTAGAATTAGAATTTTTCTAGAATTAGAATTTTCTAATTCTCACTAAAGTGTGAATGACTGCTAATCATAAATCCCTGTTCCCAGGAGAACCCACGCTATCTTCCTTGGGAACTGAAACACCTTTTAGAGTGGAATGGAACATCCTCATTCTGCTCAGTAGAGTGCAGGGATAGGAATATGCATTTGGTGTCAGGCTAGACCTGGGTTCCTGAAACTTATTTGGCAAGTCACTTGCTGTCCCTGATTCTCAGCTTCCTATTCTGTAAAATGGGGGTCATTATAGTACCTACCGAGCAGGTAAACTTGTAAACTGAGTGCTAGAAAGTGTTCAGTTATTCAGGGGCTGTTGTGGGCGGCAGAGGGACACAGTTCTTAGAAGAATTAGGGTCAATTCCTAGCGGAGCTGGGTGAGGTTGGGTAAGTCTCTGAACCTTAGTTTCGTCTTCCATGAAAAGGAGTAATAATAAGGTCAGCTTTAAGAAATGAAATAACTGGCTCCTGGAAGAGTATGTGAACTTGACTTTGTCCCAGGGGCTCAGTGCCTCAGTCTATCTGTCTATATTGGAGGTGGTTTTCTACCTCTATTTCTTGGCCAGAATTGAGGCTGAGTGGGGAATTGAACTCAGGAGTCCTGGCCCCTAATTGGAAGCTTCCAACCCACCCCCTTTAGCCCCGCCCCCTGCTCTCTGATTTGTCGCTCATGACATGGCCCCACCCCTTCCATACCACCTGATTTATGGATGGCCACACCCTTTTTCCTGACGGACGGTCAATTGGTTGCTCCTTGTGCCAATCCTGCACCTTAAACCCAGTCCCCTCTTTTTCTGGACTCTGATAGGCTAGGCCAAGCTGACACCGCCTTCCTACTGAAATTCCATTGGCTTGTCCTAGCTCCGCCCCCACAAAGTAGGCTAGACTTAACCCTTTCCTCTTTAATCCTCCCCTCCAGTGCAGTTTGACTGTCCTGAGTGGGAAAGGACCCCGGGTTTGGCCAAGGAGCTCCGGAGACCCCAGCCCAGGAGCCCCCAGCCTGCAGAGCGCGTGGACCCGGCCCTGCCCCTGGAGAAACAACCGTGAGTGGGGAAACTGAACTTGGAAGAGCCTCGCTGAACCCCTCCCAGCCCCATACCAGCTGTAGACTCCTTCTCAGGCAGAAGTTTTTGTTTTTTTCCCTCCATGGGAACTTTGACTCATTCATTCACTTCATTCATTTCTTCAACTAATCTTCTTGGGTCCCAATGCCTACTGTGTGCCAGGCACCCAGAAAGGCAAAATCTCTCAATGGTTATCAGTCTCTGGGTTCAAATCCCTGCTCTTCGAGGCTCCTTGCTGTGTGACCTTAGGCAAGTCACTTAACCTGTCTCAGCCTCAAGCTCAAAATCCTTAAGAGGGTGTCTGGCTCAAATAAAGGAAATTTCCTCCCTCCACTTGGGTGGTGTCTCAGTCACCTAGTGCTGCTGTGACAGAAATACCACAAGTGGGGGGCTTTGATGAACAGAATTTTATTTTCTCACAGTTCTGGAGGCTGAACATTTATTATCAGGGGCTTCGCTTTGTCAGTTCTTTCCTTGTGGGTATCCTCAGCATTCCTGGGCTCCTTGGCAATCCCCACATGGCATCTGTCTTCCCCCATGTGTTCAAGTCTCTTTGTCTGATCTGCTCTTTTTATGATGGAGGTTAGAAACCACTCTACACTGGTCTGCCCTCATTAACATAACAAAAACCCTGTTTCCAAGCAGGATTACACCCACAGGTATGTTGTTACTGCCAACATAGCAACCCCACGTGACAGAGTAGAACTGCCATGTAGGATTTTCTAGGCTGTAATCTTTCTGGGAGCAAATCGCCAGGTCTTTCTCCCAAGGAGCCCCTGGGCGGGTTCAAACTGCCTACCTTTCATTTAGCAGGCGAGCACTTAACCGTTTTGCCACCAGGGCTTCTTTACAGGTACAGGGGTTAGGACTCCAACACATATTTTGGGGGACACAATTCATTCTATAACAGATGGGGCTTGTAGCTTGAGAGCAAAGAGACAGAAATCATTTTGACCCCGAGGAGACCTTGGGATGGGACTGGGAGGAGCAGGATTTGGGGGAGAGGGGGTCCCAACTTTGGGCTGGGGTAGGAGGCACAGGCTGGGAGGTCTGGGTCTTCTCTGTGTCCCCGCAGCCTGGGAGCTTCTTGGGGGACCCGCTACATCCCCAGAGCCAACGCTGTGGGTACCAGGGCGTGTTTGTTTATCAGCGGTCCCAGATTTCTTAGGTGGGTGATTCGTAGACTTGAGGCTCATGACCACTGAGGCAGAGGGTGAGAAGGCTGTTCCCTTGTCACCTGTCTCTCAGTACAACCAAAGGGCAGGTCTCTGTTTGCTTCTCCTCTGTCTTTAACACCTTACTCACATCTGCTAACCGTGAAGAGCTCCCTGTCACTGGGTGTGTACAAGGAAAATATTCAGTAAAGAATAACATAGGTGAGCCCAGCTACCACCAATGACCACCCTGACAGGGAACACAACAGCGAGTCCCTGATGGAGCAGGAGAAAGGTGGGTGCAGAACTCCAATTCTAGTAAGAAGACCAGACCTAATGGTCTGACTGAGACTGGAGGGACCCCAGAAAGCATCACCCCCGGAATCTCTGTCAACCCAGAACTAAAACCGTTCCCGAGGCCAACTCTTCAGGCAAAGATTAGACTGGACTATGGGACATAAAATGATACTCGTGAGGAGTGTGCTTCTTAGCTCAAGTAGATACAGGAGACCAAATGGGCAGCTCCTGTCCGGAGGGGAGATGAGAAGGCAGAGAGGGTCAGGAGCTGGGTGAATGGACACGGGAAATCCAGGGTGGAAAGGAGGAGTGTGCTGTCACAGTATAGGGAGAGCAATTGGGGTCACATAACAATGTGTGTATAAATGTTTGTGTGAGAGACTGGCTTGAACTGTAAACTTTCACTTAAACTATAATGAGAACAACAAAAAAAGATGCCAATTCTCCCCCCACCAAAAAAAAAAAAGAAGAATGACATAGGTGAGTGGGGTGTGAATGTGGCAAAACTCGAGAAAGTGATTGATGTTGAGGAATTGGGGGTGAGGGGCCGGGGACACTTGGGGACCCAGCTGAGGGGGGCTGTGAAGATCAAGGCCAAGTGTGCTGTAGAATTGGAGGTAGCAGCTCCATGTTCACCTGGGCTCCTGCCTCCCAGGGAAAACCACGCGTGCTGGTATCCAGGCTCCTTTTGAGAAATCCAAGGGGCTTTTCCTCACCTGTTTGTACAGGGGTCGCCAGTCCTGGCACCTGCTGTGTTTGAAGCCAGTTTGAAGGGGGGTCGCATTTCATGAGCCATCTGCCCCCACCCCGTAGGTGGTTTCATGGCCCGCTGAGCCGGGCGGATGCTGAGAACCTGCTCTCCCTTTGCAAAGAAGGCAGCTACCTAGTGCGACTCAGTGAGACCAGCCCCCAGGACTGCTCCCTGTCGCTCAGGTGAGACCTCAGCGCCTGGAGGGACAGGGGCGTCACAGGACTGCACGCCATCACACTTCCGGGTTAATTCAGTGGGAGCTATGGGCGGGGATTTCATGGCCAATGGGTGGGGCTTTGGAGCCAGTGGATGGGGCTTTACCAGAACAGTGGGTAGAGATTCTGAGGCCAGTAAGTGGGGCATTTGGTGCCAGTAAGCAGAGCTTTCTGGGACCAGTGGGTGGTGTTTTCAGGCCAGTGGGCAGAGCTTCCAGGGAGGCACTTTCACGGTTCCAATTGGGAATGAACTCTCGGTCACTGGAGGTATGCAAGAAGATGGAGTAGAAGCCATACGGGAGAACCAGGCCTTGGATGAGATGGGGAGAAACTAGGTGTTCAAGATTCCTCTGGACTCCCTCAGTCCAAAAGTTGAAGGATATCCATTTGTCTCTTAGACCGGAATTTCACATTGGCCCTGTGAGCGTCTGAGTTCTAGATCCTTCTGTCTCTAAGATTCTAAGTGTGTCTGATTATAAAACTCTGCTAAGATTCTATGAGATTCCTAAGAGAACAAGGTTGAAGGAGGGCTTTGGGGCCAGGATCAGATCCTGAGTCTGCCACTTTCCAGCTGGGTGACCTTAGCTAAGTGATTCAACCTCTCTGGACCTCAGTTTCCTCATCTCTGAAGTGAGGGTGGTAATAGCATCAACGTCATTGTGGTGTTTGGATGGTTAAGTGAACTAATATGTGGAAAAGGTTGAGAATAAAACCCACACCCATTGCCATCGAGTCGATTCTGACTCAGAGCGACCCTACCGGCCAGAGAAGACCTGCCCCATAGGGTTTCCAAGGAGCAGCTGGTGGATTCGAGCTGCCAACCTTTGGTTAACAGCTGAGCTCTTAACCACTGTCCCACCAGGGCTCCAAGTTTGAGAATAGTTCCTGGAAAACAGTGAGCGCTTAGATAATATTCGCAAGGATGATAAAATGATTCCCTGATTCTGGTCATTCCATCCACAAGGATGGAGAGAAAAGGAGGTGACCCCAGACCAGGGTTTCGGTGGTGGGGAGCCCAGGGGAGGACGCAGGGTCAGGAGATTTGGAGAGAGAGTGAGGTAAGTCTACGGGTGCTTGGAGTGACCCAAAAGAGGTCCTGGGGGCCCCCTGGCCACTATAATTGTTCCCTTCATTGAAGAAGCACTTATTGAGTACCTACTGTGTTCCAGGCCCTGTAGTAGGCTTTGGCGCTCTGGCTTTGCCACACCTGTTATTGTTATTTGCTACTGTCAAGTCAGCTTCTGACTCATGGCAACCCCATGCACAATGGGATCAGACCATTGTGATCCATAGGGTTTTCACTGGCTGATTTTCAGAAGTAGATTGCCAGGCCTTTCTTCCTAGGTGCCTCTGGGTGGGTTTGAACTGCCAACTTTTAGGCTAGTAGTTGCACGCTTAACCATTTGCACCACCCAGGGACTCCTTCCACAGGTGTAGGGGTTAGGATTTGCAAGACATATTCTGGGGGGGGCGGACAAGGCGTTCTGGTGGCACAACAGTTGAGCGCTCCACTGTTAACTGTAAGGTTGGCGGTTTGAACCCACCCAGTAGCTTTGTGGGAGAAAGGCCTGGCAATCTGCTCCCATAAAGATTACAGCCCGGGAAACCCTATGGGGCAGTTCTACCCTGTCGCATGGGGTCACTAGGTCAAAATTGACTCAATGGCACCCAACAGCAACAGTATTTTAGGAGGGACACGATGCAATCCCTAACAGCACCTAACCACTGCTCGCCAGAGGGGCTTGGGGAGGCCAGGGCCTGGCCCCTGGGGACTTCGGGGATGGAGAGGTCTGGGGTGCTCAGGCTCCCCTCTGACCGTGTGTCCTCTCCCCAGGAGCAGCCAGGGTTTCCTGCATCTGAAGTTCGCGCGGACCTGCGAGAACCAGGTCGTGCTGGGCCAGCACAGCGGCCCCTTCCCCAGTGTGCCCGAGCTGGTCCTCCACTACAGCTCACGCCTACTGCCTGTGCAGGGCGCCGAGCACCTGGCCCTGCTCTACCCGGTCACCACCCAGAACCCCTGACCGGCTGCCTGCGCCGGGGAGCCCACTGGCTGCAACAGCTGGAGGTCTTCACAGTCCGGAAGGAAGGACTGAGATAGACAGACAGATGGACGGACTCCCCACCCTGAGTGCCGAGTCTTGCATTGAGGACGCCATCTCTGCCGCCTTCTGGGTCCTGGGCCCCCCCCCCTTACCCTGAAAAATAAATAAGTTATTGTCTCTTTCGTGTCCGTGCTGGCCACCAGGGAGGGAGGTGTGTCTCTCAGGTCCCCAGTGTGAGCCTGCACCCCTCTGTGTCCCCATCTGTGAACTGGCCCCGGGGGTGGGGTCCAGTGGGGTGTTGAGAGGGCCCCCAGGAGCTGCCCAGAGGCACCAGCTCGACAGAAGGATGACAGGGGGCTGAGACCCTTGGAGGGGCAAAGGCTTCCCCTCGAAAAAAACAAAAACCAAACCCATTGCCCGTTGAGTTGATTTTGACTCACGGTGACCCTATCCCTCTAGATCAGAGTAGAACTGCCCCATAGTGTTCCCAAGGCTGTAATCTTCATGGAAGCTGACTGCCTTCATCTTTCTCCCTTGGAGCAGCTGGTGGGTTTGAACCACCGACCTTTCGGTTAGCAGCTGAGCGCCTAACCACTGCACCACCAGGGCTTCTAGGGGCTTCCCAGGTTGCTGGATTTGGGGATGGAGCTGGGGTCAAGGAGGAGAAGTCAAAGCTCAGAGAGGCAGAGAGCAGGAGAGAGGGGCCTGGAGGCAGAGGAAAACCTGGGGGTGGGTACAGAGGCGCAGAGGACAAGTGCAGATACAAAAATGGAGAAGCCAGGGGCAGGATAAGCTCTCAGGCCAGCCCTGCCCCCACCCCGCCCCTCCTCCCATCCCAGCAGCCGGCCGGCCAAAGCTGCAGAAAAGACATCTGTCCCCATGGAAACAGCAGAGGTGGGGGAGGGGAGCAGGGCCCAGTTGGTGTCCCTTCAAGGTGACAGTCTGGCTGGTAAACCCCAGGAAGCCCCTGACCTACCCTCCCTCCTCCTTCTCCAGGGCTGCCTGGGGGGGAGACGTCAGCTGGGGGGGGGGTGGGCTCTGGTGCAGGGTACTGCTGCTTGGATATGTCCCTCCAAGTGTTGGCGAGATGTCAGAGTCCCCTTTCGATAGAGGGTCTCTCCAGGCATCTCTGGACGCTCTGGGCCTCAGATGGCTCCCTCTGTCCTGTACTGTTGATACAGCTGGCCCCTGGGGAGAAGGGTGTGAACAGGACAGATGCGCTTCCAATCCAATGGACATTAACCAAGTCACCGACAAATGAACTACGTAAGCGACCCACAGCGACCCTATAGGGCAGACTGGAACTGCCCCATAGGGTTTCCAAGGAGCGGCTGGTAGATTCAAACTGCCGAACTTTTCGTTAGCTGATGAGCTGTTAACCACTGTGCCACTAGGGCTCCACTAACCCAAAGGTCGGTGGTTCAAACCCACCCAACAGCTCTTTGGGAGAAAGGCCTGGTGATCTGCTCCTGTAAAGAGTACAGCCTAGGAGACCCCATGGGGCAATTCTACTCCGTCCTATAGGGTCACTATGAGTTGAAATCAACCCGACAGCACCCAACAATAAAAATCATAATCTGTCTTGAGTGCCAAAAAGGAGAATAATGGGAAAGCATACCAGGGGGGGCCCACCTGGTCTTAAATCCAGGAGGACTCCCTGAAGGAGGAGGCTGAGCTCCCGGCAGAGGTGTTCTGAGTGTCTGCCCTTTTCCTCCCACTCCAACTTGCACTTACTGAGTTTGTCTCTGTGTCCACGCGGGCCTGACATGGCTCCCTGGCTTAGCTTAAGCAGTGTCACTGTTAGCCGCCGGGCGAGTTGGCCCCTGACTCATAGCAACCCCGTGCACAGTGGAACAAAATGCTCCCTGATCCTGTGCCATCCCCAGGATCGGCTGTGGGTCTCGCTGCTGTGTTCCATAGGGTTTTCGCATAGGGTTAACCCTGATTTTCGGAAGTCGATTGCCAGGCCTTTCTTCCTAGACCGTCTTAGTCCGGAAGCTCTGCTGAAACCTGTTCAGCATCCTAGCGACACGCCAGCCTTCACTGACAGACGGGTGGTGGCTGTGCATGAGGTGCATTGGCTGGAATAGAACCTGGGTCTCCTGTATGGAGGTGAGAATTCTGCCCCTGAACCACCAAATCGCCATCAACTCTAGGTTTGCGTCCTTCACCAGACTTTACTGAGAGTTGTGGGGGAAGGGGGAGCCCCAGCATCAGTTATACCTCCATGTAGCCTGAGCCACTGGTGGGGTCCCTCCTGGATCCCCGGGAGCTCAGAGTCCCCTTCCCACTCTAGGGGACCCTCTTGGCCATGGCTGCTCAAAGCCACCTGGGCTGGGAGAGACCTTGATTGTAGAGCTGGGGTGGCTAGGTCTCAGGCTGGGGCAAGGTTTGGGGGACAGACGTGGCTGGGGGTTAGAGGGCTGGGGGGAAGAGTCGAATAGAAGCTCTGGCCTTTCTGGTCCGACCTGGGTGAGTCCAACACCTTCTTTTCCCCAGGCCACGCCTCAGTCTCTTTGGAGTCCCCCGGGGCCAGTATAGGACGTTGCTGTAGAAAGGATTTCCTGGGGAGTAGGGGGGACAGTTACTCAAGAGAGACGGCCTGGCCCACCTCCGGGGGCTTTGTCTCTGCTCCTGAAAAACACTGGTGCAGTGGACAACCTTCTCCATCTATTTCCCCTTTCCCTCGGCCCGGCAGCCACCCCCTTCCAAGGGCTGGTATCAATGCCAGATGGGGAACCTACTCCGTCCTGTCAAGCGGCTGCAGTTCCCGCCTCCGCCACGCGGGGGCGGGGTTCCCAGCGGATCCCATCGGATCCCTTACCTGAGTCCCTGTGCAGGTGGCGACAGCGGCCCCAGATCCCAGCGCCCAGCGCGATAGCGGCCACGGCCACGAACCCTGCCACCAGCAGCGGGAAAAGAAGTCCTGTGAGGACAGTGGGCGTCCTGAGAGGGGCACTGGGCGGAGCTGGGGGAGGGACATGAGGGCGGGGCCCACCTGGGAAGCTGAACGCAGGGGTCCCTGGGGGGCCATCTGAGGAGAAGAAAACTTGGTCGCGGGGATGCCCACCTTGGAGTCCAGCCTCCTGCACCCTCCAGCGTCAGAAGCCTCCCCCTTCCCCACGTGAGACCTCAGAACTCCTGCCCGGCCAGGCTGGGTGACTCGGGGCCAGCGTCGTGTCTGAGCCTTAGGTTCCCCTTCTGTCAAATGGGGATAATCGTCCCTACCTTGCTGGGTTATCGTGAAATAACTGCCAACCGGAGTTTTTCATCATGAGCTCCATCACCCTCATCACTAGTCCCTCACTCTTACCATGCGCGCCACCATCCACATCACAGACCTCCATTATCCTGTCTTAGTTACCTAGTGCTGTTATAACAGAAATACCATAAATGGGTGGCTTTCATAAACAGAAATGTATTTTCTCACAGTTGTCGTTAGGCACTGTAGAGTCAGTTCCCACTCATAGCGACCCACTGCCCAGTCCTGCGCCATCTTAACAATCGTTGCTATGCTTCAGCCCACTGTTGCAGCCACTGTGTCAATCCATCTTGTTGAGGGTCTACCTCTTTTTCACTGGCTCTCTACTTTACTAAGCACGATGTCCTTGTCCAGGCACTGGTCCCTCCAGATAACATGTCCAAAGTATGTGAGACAAAGTCTCGCCATCCTCGCTTCTAAGGAGCATTCTGGCTGTACTTCTTCTGGCAGTCCATGGTATAGTCAATATTCTTCACCAACACCATAATTCAAAGGCATCAATTATTCTTTGGTCTTCCTTATTCATTGTCCAGCTTTTCATGCATATGAGGCGATTGAAAACACCATGGCTTGGGTCAGGCGCACCTTAGTCCTCAAAGTGACATCCTTGCTTTTCAACACTTTAAAGAGATCTTTTGCAGCAGATTTGCCCAGTGCAATGCATCGTCTGATTTCTTGACTGCTGCTTCCATAGGCATTGATTGTGGATCCAAGTAAAACAAAATCCTTGACAACTTCAATCTTTTCTCGATTTATCATGATGTTGCTTATTGGTCCAGTTGTGAGGATTTTTGTTTTCTTTATGTTGAGGTGTAATCCATACTGAGGGCTGTGGTCTTTGATTTTCATCAGTAAGTGCTTCCAGTCCTCTTCACTTTCAGCAAGCAAGGTTGCATCGTCTGCATATCTCAGGTTGTTAATGAGTCTTTCTCCAATCCTGATGTCACATTCTTCATACAGTCCAGCTTCTCGGGTTATTTGCTCAGCATATAGATTGAATAAGTATGATGACAGGATACAACCCTGGCACACACCTTTCCTGATTTTAAACCACACAGTATCCCCTTGTTCTGTTCCAACGACTTCCTCTTGGTCTATGTGCAGGTTCTGTATGAGCACAGTTAAGTGTTCTGGAATTCCCGTTCTTTGCAATGTTATCCATAATTTGTTATGATCCACACAGTGGAATGCCTTTGCATAGTCAATAAAACACAGATAAACATCTTTCTGGTATTATCTACTTTCAGCCAAGATCCATCTGACATCAGCAATGATATCCCTTTTTCCATGTCCTCTTCTGAATCTGGCTTCAATTTCTGGCAGTTCCCTGTCTATGTACTGCTGTGACCATTTTTGGATTCTCTTCAGCAAAATTTTACTTGCGTGTGATATTAATGGTATTGTTCGATAATTTCTGCATTCTGTTGGATCATCTTTCTTTGGAATGGGCACAAATATGGATCTCTTCCAGTCGGTTGGCCAGGTAGCTGTCTTCCAAATTTCTTCACATAGATGAGTGAGTATTTCCAATGTCAAAACATCTCAGTAGGTATTCTGTCAATTCCTGGAGCCTTGCTTTTCACCAGCACCTTCAGTGCAGCTTGGACCTCTTCCTTCAATACCATTGGCTCTTGATCATATGGTCCCTCCTGAAACGGTTGAACACTGATCGAGTCTTTTTGGTACAGTGACTCTGTATATTCCTTCCCTCTTCTTT